GAAGCGCATTACGTAAAACTTTTCATATAAAAAGTACTTGACAAGACGAGGGTATTTGTTTAAAAACGATCCCTCTATCACTTATGGTTACACAGCAAATGTATGCCAACTTTGACCTTCAATATCTCGGCAAATAGTAAGCCGAATGTATCTTTTTTTTTAAAGAAGCGTCTTTTAATGTTCTTTAAATGTATAAATTTTGAAATTGATATGTTTAAAGCTCGTAAAGTTATTCAATTTGTCAAAGCCTAAAAAATGTTTAAAACTTTTAAAAAATTTCTAGGCTCTCCTAGTGAACTAATTTGAATTTTACAAAAAGCGTTTGAAAGTTTGAGCCTTCCTTTATATGTAAAAAAATTTGCAACTATCGGAGGGCCTTATTTAGGGCTTACTATAAATTTAAAAAATTTTTTCCAGTAGGCTGGATTGCAAAATTATTGTGCAAAACCTATCCAACCGATCTTAACAAAATTTAGCACACGTTTTAAACATATTAAAAAGTTTTTCTAGGCGGAATATGGACCTTGTAAGTCAAAAACATTTAAAAGATTAACTTCATTTTTTGTACTTTTTTTTCCAATTATTGCTATTTTTTCAACAATAAACATTAAATTTTCAATTTCTAGCTAACGAAATATTGTGTAAAATTGAATAACGAAACTTTTAACTTCTTATAATTTTTTCTCTAGGATCAATATTTTCCGAATTATAAACGAAAATAGTAGCAAAAAATGAGAAATTTTCAATTGTTTTCAGATTTTGTTAAATAAAAAATTTAGCACAGGGTTTGCGACTGGCCCATATCGTGATTACCGATATTGGGCACATTTTGAAGGGATTCCAGCAAAAAATAGCTTCCTATGGAAAATGTCCAATCCAAAACAGATCCCGCCTAGACTAAACGATTTTGCTTATGTACTTTCAAGTAGTGAATTATGTGTGCCAGTTATTCACCGGTCCAACGAATCAAATATTTATATTATTTTTTGAACTATTGCCAAGCCATTTAAAACTGCACAGTAATGTCAGGATTTTATAAAGTGTTCTAATACATGTTTACTTCTTTTGTAAACATATTTTATATTCGTAATTATATACCATTTCAATAATTATGCACTCTGGTTACAAAAAGATTGTTTTCAGAGAAGGAAATGTTTTATTTTTGTTTATATGTCATTAAAGAACTAGATTTATTTATACAGGGTGTTTCAAAAATGTATGTCATAAATTAAAATTATTGAATCCGACTTACCTTAGTACAAAAGTGTACACAAAAAAAGTTACAGCCCTTTGAAGTTACAAAATAAAAATTGTTTTTTTTTGCATTATCTTTTGCACTATCTACCTTCAGTAGAAATGGAATAACAAACCATCATAACGAGCACATTTGGGCCGACGAAAATCCTCACGCCAAAAAAACAACTCATCACCAAAGGACTTTTAAAGTTAATGTGTGGGCAGGAATTGTGGAGAACAATCTAATAGGCCCAGTATTTCTTCCAGTGATAATTATTTGCAGTTCGTGTCAAATGATTTACAAGAGTATTTGGAAGAAGTGAATATGGCTATAACGCAAAATATGTGGTTTGTACAAGATGGCGCTCCACCGCATTACAGTAATGAAGTCCGGGAATGGTCGGTGGATTGAAAGGGGTAGTGACGCACTTATTTCTTGGCCACCAAGAAGTCCAGGTTTCAACCACATAAACTTTTGCTTTTGGGGGTTTATGAAAGAGAAAGTGTATTCTGTACAACGACAGAACAAAGTGTATTCTGTACTAGGCGAGCGGCTTACCCCTATAAGCAGAGCATCAACCGACTAAAATTATTTTTGCATTTCTAATGCACCAAACCTTTTTTATTCGATTCTATATATTTTTCCAAGATGAAATGTATTTTTTTTAATTTTTACAAGTGGGCCGGCAATTGTTATTAACAAATAAGTTATACAAAAAAGCAATTTCACCGAATTGTTTCGGAATCAATTTTTTTAGGGGTATCTCATCAAAATAAACACTTTTTCTTTCCTGATAATTTTTCGAAAATGCTTCTTTTCGAGTTATTTGCATTTTTTTGTTGAAAAAATTCCTTAATTAGTGCTTTTTGGGATTTTTTTTCTAAAAAACTACCAAATGAATTGCAATTTTACAAATAGCTTTATAATCTTTAAACCGTCGAGTATAAGTTAGAATATTTTGACAAGGATAAATGGTTTCTATCTCGCTAATAACGTGGACCCAAATACTTCGAATATGCCTTTCAAGAGCATCCCGCTAAGCGTGTACAGCGGTTGAAGTTATTGACAATGAAAACGATGTATAATTAATATTATATTTTTATTTTATTATATTTTTCAATGAAAATAATTATATATTGCTTAATGTATTTCACTGTAATAAAACATTCAATCACGTATATTAAAAGAAAAATTACATTATTATAGCATTGTAAAAAATTAATTTTAATTGTTTTAATTATAATATGTCTATATAAAAATAATTAGAAATATCTTTTTTTTTAATAAATTGTACGTAATATTTGTATTGAATTAATTTTTTAAATTCAAACAAATATTTCTACGCGCCGCACGCCTGTATCGCCGCAACCGCTGTACACACTTAGCGATAGACTGCTCGAAAGGCATATTGGAAATATTTGGGTCCACGTTTTTAGCAAGATAGAAAAAATTATCCCTGTCAAAATATTCTAACTTGTACTCGACGGTTTAAAGATTATAAAGCTATTTGTAGAAATGCAATTCATTTAGTAGTTTTTTAGAAAAAAATCCCAAAAATTACTAATTAAGGCATCTTTTCAACAAAAAATGCAAATAACTCGAAAAGGAAGCATTTTTCGAAAAATTATCAAGAGAGAAAAAGTGTTCATTTTAATGAGATACATATAAAAAAAAATTAATTCCGAAGCAATTCGGTGAAATTGCTTTTTTGTATAAGTTATTTGTTAATAACAATTGCCGGCCCACTTGTAAAAATTAAAAAAAAAATACATTTCATCTTGGAAAAATATATAGAATCGAATAAAAAAGGTTTGGTGCATTAGAAATGCAAAAAGAATTTTAGTCGGTATATTCTGTTTCTAAGCGTCTTTTGAGGGGTAAACCGCTCGCCTAGTACAGGACGAACAACAATTGCTGTTAGAATAATTGAAGCTGTAAATCAATTTCGTCAGAAAAATATGATTTTTCAGCACATTCGGTTTTCCTCATTAAAACTGGGGGTCATTTTGAACATTTATTGTAATATCACATTTATACAGGTTATAGACATTTTTTGTACTTGTTAATTCATTTAACCCATTTTAGTTGCACGTAATTTTTTAAAAGGTAATGAAAAGGGCCGTAATTCAATAAAAACTGTTTTTTGAAAAAAGTGATGAGGCAAAAAAAATTTAAAAATAATGTGTTAAACTAATGATACCACAAAATTCATTTGATTTGAACGTACTAAAAGTTTGGGGGGATTTAGGGCTGCACACCCCCTTAAAATTTTTCTGTGCGATTAGATTTTGTTTTTTTTTTTTTATGAAAAATGCTTTCAGAACAAGAAAGTAACGTGTCCATTTTTATTACAAAATGTCAAGTAGTTTAGGAGATACTGCAAAAAACATTTTTTATTTTGTAACTTCAAAGGGCTGTAACTTTTTTTATGTACACTTTCGTACTAAAGTAAGTTGGATTCAATCAATTTATTTTTATCCCCGGAATGCGCGATTTAATTTATGACATGCCTTTTTGAAACACCCTATATAACACGCTTTTATAATTTAAAAACAATGTCAATGACTAATAAGAATTTTGTATTTCTAAATAGGTGGTACTAGAAATATTTAGCTAATTACCGTATCTCTGTAATGTTCATTATTATTAATTATTGTCGCGTTATTTCCTCAACCGGTACCATCACCAATATATTTATCTACGAAAATACTTTAAAAATAATAGGCAATGGTTTTAATCTCATTTATTTGGCAACGTAATTATAAATAAAATAAAATTGTTCTGTTCGATATGGTCGTTGTTTTTTTATGGCATTTTCGATATTGTTTTAGATTAGCTATGACAAATCCGTGTTGTATACAAATTGCACTAAATATTCAAACAAAACATTTCGTGTATGTAAAATGTAAAGAGGTAGAAGATTTGCAAATGAAGCATAAAAATAGAGAACTACACAGAAAGTTTAAAGAAGTAGCTCGCATATGGAAACCCAAACACTTATCAATTGTAAAAAACCAGAAAAACCAAATAGAATTAGACATGAATTAGACAATAGAATGAGTCATGCCGATTCAGTACACAAGTTTACATGCTATTTTCAAGGTCATAGCTCTTGTCAAAATCCATTACTTCTGTCATTTTTATTAGCCAATATATGGTGTTTTGCGTGATGGTCTGCAAAATCGAAAAATTCGAAAAAATCCGGTTTTATTGATTTTGCAGACCTTCACGGAAAGCACCATATATTGGCTATTAAAACTAGTAATAACTTCAAATTTGGACTACTTATAGATAAATTTGCCATATTGATCGCCAACCTCAACAGAGAAGGCACTTAGGAGGAGGAGGATTGGCTGCTTGACCAAATACCTGAAATAGTATTGTTAAGAACCTGATCAGGTAAAAAACTTATGTTCGAAACAGAAGATAATAGGATTTCTCAGAAGTCTAGACCTTTTGGATAGGTGTAAGATATACGCAATCAATCGAACCCTTTATATACAGTGTACAAAAACCAAATGAATTTTTGAACACAAAAACCTCGAGTTGATGTGTCATTCGACACCCATCCCTTATTTGGTATCGAAACATTTACTATTACAGTCCAACAAAAATGCACCAAAACAGCGTCAATATATGGACACGATTTTTTTCTTGATTCAATGTATGGTAAATAAACTGTGTAGTAACGTACATTAAGCTTTTAAGAAAACTAAGAAAAGCATAGATATAGAGATTATCGATAATCGTATGTTTTTCTTACCATTTTTGATCTTTGGCAGACGAACGCATTACTCCCATCTAAACCCTGGAAATAAATATATAAATTTATTATTTTGAAGTCACTTATGCCTGATATTTGACAATTACACTTTGTAATCCATTACGTTTGAATATCCATTGGTTATAAAAAAAACTAATATATTTTTTAAATCATTTGATAATCCGGAACGATTTTTTATTTTTCATTATCATTGGCACTGGATCAATTAAAATTTATATATGATTAAGTGTCGTATATACCGGCCGATCTCTCGGCTATATATCAGAAACTATTCATGTTATAACTTAAGGAGAAAAAATTTCTTAGTAAAAGTGGCCAAGAGAAATCGCTGGAAATAACTTTCAAGTTTCTGGGTTAACCGCTAGAAAAAATTAAAATTTGTTTTTCTTCAAAATGTTGAATGGAAACACCTATTTATTGTAAATTATAATGTAACAGGATTAAATTCGTAACAAAATGGCGCAAACCTTTTGTGGAACTCAAGATATGAATAAAAACGCATAAACATAAGTAAGTATAGTATTGACTCACCCTGTATTATAAATTAAATTAAAAAATAAGTCACTAGGTACTTTCAAATTTTTTTATAGCAGTAGAATCTTAATGATGATACCTATTTTGACCATTGTCATTTCATATTATTAAAAATAGTTTTTTCGAAACTAAATAGGCTACGACAATGAATTTGACGGGGAGTACATATTGTTTATTTATTGACAACAGTCAAAACATTGTTAAGAAGTGTTAATATTATAATTCGAATTGAAGATTACACTTTTTTCAATAAATATTAATATTGGTAATATTAGTAATTATCAATACTAATAATTGGTGATGAGTATATCAGATGTAGAATTGTATGATATGATTAGAGTTTATTTCGAATGTCACCAAAATGTCGCCATTGCCAATCAATGTTCTTGCTTTAATTCAACAGAATTCACATATAAGTAGTCGGCAAATCTCTATAGAATTAAACATACCCAAAACTACTGTTCTAAAGATTTTAAAACATCACAGGTTCGTTTTTCATATTATAAAGTGAACGTTTAGGTCAGAAACTTGGAATTCCCTTTAAACTTTAGATTCAACTATTATTTTAATATTCCGATAAAAATGGCAACACGGCGCTTTTATCCTTTTATCCGTTTCTTAAAAATACTTGCACGATTTATCTTGTGAAACAATTGTGGATTTTTCAAGATTTTTTGAGTTTTAGTAAATATAGTGGTTTCTTTTTCACCTATATTTGTTGTTCTGTTTTTTAGACTGCATCCTTATCATGTAGTTCTCCACCAAGCTTTACATGGGAGAGATTTTGATGCAAGGCTGGATTACTGCAATTGGATGTTAGGTCTGCTAGAAGAACAACCGCATATCATGTCAAAGATTTTGTGGACAGACGAGGCTACGTTTAATAGTGCGGGTGGTGTTAATCTGCATAATGTGCATTATTGAGCTAAAGAAAATAAGCACTGGATACATGAGGTGCAGATTCAAGGTAGATGGAGTCTTAATGTTGGGTGTGGTATAGTTGATGGAAAAATCGTAGGTCTATATTTCTTTGATAGATCTTTAAATGGCAAAACATATTTGGATTTTCTGGAAAATTAGTTGCCTGTTTTATTGGAAGATATTTCCTTACAAACAAGAAGAGATATGATATTACAACATGACGGGTGTCCTGCGCACTTTTCCAGACGAGTTCGAGATTATTTGTACGCAAGTTATCCAAATAAATGGATTGGAAGGGGAAGTATATTTTCATGGCCCGCTAGATCTCCAGACTTAACATGTCTGGACTTTTATCTGTGGGGAAGATTGAAGGACTTAATGTACCAAACTCGACCAACCAGGCGAGACGACATAGAACAGCGCATTATAAACGCAATAAATAGTATATCAACAGCTGAGATTGAAACAGCTGTTATGTCTACGCGCGAAAGATTACATCTTTGTGTGGACAACGATTAAAAACAATTTAAACATTTAATTGGACATTAAGTTTTAATGATCGAGATATTTATATGATCTTTCACATATTTAATTTTAAGTTATAATAAAGGGTGAGTCAATACTATACTTACTTATGTTTATGCGTTTTTATTCATATCTAGAGTTCGACCAAAGCTATCAACATGCGCTTTGCGCCATTTTGTTACGAATTTAATCCAGTTCCATTATAATTTACAATAAATAAGTGTTTCCATTAAACATTTTGAAGAAAAACAAATTTTAATTTTTTCTATTTGAAAGTACCCTCTACCCATGACAATTAAAACTAAATGCAATTGTTTTATAGTAGATGTAAATTAAATCATCCACACTCTTTCTAATGATACTAATTTCGTTAAAATCGGTTAATCCAAACCAAAGTTATAGGTATTTATCCACAAATACTTTCCCACTCTCCCCCACCCTTTATTTGAAAAAATAAAAAAAAGTACTTGAACAACTTTGTGCAGAATTTAGGCATCTTTCTATTAGTTTACTTATTTAACACTTGGTATAATTGGGGTGTGAAGCTCAATTGTTAAAAGCTAGTGAACATATAAGCTGCAAAGAGCTGTCAAAAGAAGAAAGATTTTGCTAAACAATTTGGCCTAACTCTGTCACTCTGTCTGAACAACTCTGTGCAGAATTTAGGTCACTTTCTAGTTTACTTATTTAACACTTGGTATAATTGGGCATATCAAAAAACTGGTTTTCAAAGATTTCTTCACAGTTTACGCCCCCTAGCGGTTAACCCAGAAACTTGAAAGTTATTTTCAGCGATTTCTCTTGGCCACTTAGCCATTTGGCCAAGAAATTTTTTCTCCTAAAGTTATAACATGAATAGCTTCTGACATATAGCCGAGAGATCGGCTTATTGGACCACCCGGTACATGCCATAAGGAAAGGCAAAAAGAGGAGTGAATTGTTGTGCACCGAATGAGGATGATCATGTTACCTTCTAACATTCATTCTATCAGGTCTTGTAAAAGAGTAAATAAAACATCATATTATTTGCATGCTGATTACAATAATACATGAATAAGGCATGTATTTAGAATTTTCAATAGCCTTTGATATTATGGGTCCCATAGGTAAAAAGGTTGACAATTTCACTAGTTATTTGAATTACAATATTCAATATTAAGGAATTTTTTTGAAATATACTTATCTGCTCTGTAATAAAATTATGTATAAAATAAAGATGGTTTATATAAAAGAAAATAAACAAATTTTTGAACCTGAGACAAGCTAAGTAGTAGAAAAGACTAATCTTCTTCTTCTTAAAGTGCCCTCTCCTCAATGGAGGTTGGCTACTACAATTTTAAACTCTTCTCTATCTTCAGCTGTTCTTATTAGCTGTTCAAAATTTAGCCCTGTCCATTGTCGGATGTTTCTGAGCCATGATAGTCTTTTCCTTCCTAGGCCTCTCTTTCCCTCGATTTTTCCTTTCACTATAAGTTGGGCATATTGGTACTTATGATTTCTCAGTATGTGGCCTAGGTATGATGTTTTTCTTACTTTTACTGTGTTAAAAAGTTCTCTTTCCTTGCCTATTCTATGCAGCACTTCTTCGTTTGAGGTATGCGATGTCCATGAAATTTTTAGTATTCTCCGGTAGATCCACATTTCAAAGGCCTCCAATTTATTTACGGTTGATGTTTTAAGGGTCCACGTTTCAACTGCATATAGAAGAGTCGACCAGACGTAGCATTTTGATAAACGTAGTCGAATTTCGAGTTTTATTCGAGAATCACAAAGCAGTTTTTTTATTTTTTCGAAAGATTTTCTAGCCTGTTCTATTCTCGATCTTATTTCTTGATCAGGATTTAGGCTGCTATCGATCCAACATCCCAGGTACTTAAATCTATTGACCTGTTCTAAGATGTGCCCATTTATTGTGCAAGGTTGAGGTACGTTTTGGTTTTTTCGGATTGACATCACTTTGGTTTTTTTAATGTTTATTTTCATACCAAATTGCTCACAGGTAGAGTTGGTCTTGTCGATGAGTCGTTGTAGACCTGAGTCGGAATCCGCAATTAACACTGTATCATCGGCGTATCTGATACTGTTGATATTTACGCCATTCACCTTGACTCCATCCTTGGAATCCTCCAATGCTTCTTTTATAAGACTTCTTTTAAAAGACTAATAAAATTATAATATATGTACAAGTATTCTTGATCTGGAATTTCTAAGATACAGTACCAATAACCGAAGTAAACTTGGGATAGGGGTATGTATAAAATAAAGGGTTTCATGGCCAAGGATTGCTTTACACAAAAACTGCAAAATCAAGTTCAACCATGGTGTGACACATTAAAAATCCAAACCTATTTATTTGATTATAAAAAATTGCTCATGAGGAAACAGGTAGTGAATATAATGATGCTGAACTGTAACAATTAGATCAATTATTTAACCTTGCCATTAGTTATACCATAGGATATATATTTTATAACTATTATGGCATAATTTGGTACACATTTTTTCTTCTACTTTATGTGGCCTCATGTTTGTGTGATCATTCAGCCAATCGTGCAGTGAGTGCATACTGCTTTGACTAAGTAAAATTTTCAAAAAATACTGGATTATGTTATCATTACAGCAAGGACACCTGTAATAGGTAAGGTTAGTATTAAAATGCATTTATGCACGTTAATTAATGCGTGTCTATGCATTTTTTATGCACATTAATATTTAATCAGCACATATTATGACTTTTATTTATGTTTCTCATGTAGATCACAGTTTGAATTACTAAAATCTGCATTTTATACATTTTCTTCATAAATAAGTGTTTCCTCTTTTAAATCTTTCTTTTTTTGTGAAGCCAGTTCATTCTGAGTTCATTTTTTTTTAATTACTGATGTATTTTCACTACTTGTCTCTACACTTTCCTATTTTTCACATTTCTTTCCTGTATTTCTTCTATTCAACCTACTTCTTCTTGTCTCCCAGGACCATATAGAAGGCTTTATTCCTATCAAAATTAAATTTGATGTGTTCCAGGGCCCATATTTTGGGTTTTATTACATTACCTTTGTTTAATTACTTGAAAATTATCTAAGATCTGAATGTATTGTAGGAAGTAATGTACTTATCAAAAATATAAAAGCATTAAATAGACTATGTTCTATTGTACATGTTTGTGTTTTTAACTCTACTTTTAATTTTTCTTAAAAGGTTCTTGTTTTGTGTAATACAGGATTATATTTTAAGAATTTGTAAAAATAATCATTTAAGCTGTAGATAATATATCTTGGGATTAAAATATTCTGATGTTTTTATCAATGTTGGCAAATATCCTTATCAATTTATTGTGGTTTATTACAAAAATGACAGGAAGATATAGTTTGAGCTAACACATCAAAAAACACATCTTACACCTCATTTATTTATGATAAAATATATGAAATAATAAAAGACTGCACAAGTTTAAAAGTAATTTGAACATTTAATAAAAAGAGACATTGCAGATACCATAATGAACTACGAAAAAAGCACTCCTTGATTTAATGACAGAAATTAAAGATATAAAAATAGTTTGTTGGTTATACTGATAACTAATTACTTATTGTTCTAAGTAAAAATATTAAAAATTCACTCCAGGTCTAAAGAACACAGTAACATATGAGGAAAGTGAAATAAAGTGAATAAATAGAAAGCCAATCATCAGATTTCTTCTCAGAGATATATGTATATATAAGTGTATGTATTGTATAAGAATTCAGTAGCTGAAAGAAAGAATATATAGGACATAATGATGTATACTATAGACCTTGTTAATATAAAAATCTCTAACTCAAAAATTGAACTGAGAATTACAAATTGAGAGAAAAATAGTTTGGCCATAATTAATTAATTAATATGGTAATATACTTTAGTAATAGAGTATGATATGATATGAGTATACTGAATTATGAAGACAGGCTCTTAACCCTCTATAGCCCCGTGTATACTCAAGGCAACAAAGGAGTTTTTGATGCAGAAAGCTTTTTTAAAATAATTTCCAACTCTAAGATGTCCTCTGTTGATTTCAGGCAACATTTGGTTATACATTTTAATACACTTATTGCCATCTATGAACCTATGACGAAACCTATATGGAAATTTGTAACAGTATGTCAAATGCACTCTAAATTATTTTAAAAAGATTATATCTACCAATATGCTGGAAAACATAGTAGAACAAAGTAATTTGTATGCACTGCAAAAGAATATAAATAAAGCATTGAATATGATACTAGCAGAAATAAACCAATTTATTGGATCTGATCTACTGATGTCAATATATGGCTTGCCAAGGACAAGATCATTTTGGCAGAAGGAAACACGTGTTGCTCAAATAGTTGACACTATATCTAGGAATCGCTGGGAAGAAATAAAAACTAAAATTCATTTCAATAATAATGAAAATATGGTCAACAATAATGATAACTTATACAAAATTAGAACTGTTGAACATCCTCTTCATACAGCCTATGAAGAGGATGTTCAACGAAGAGGATGTTCAACAGTTACCTAATATAGGCACCAGCCGTAATGTAGTAATACAATTGTGTGAGATAGTCGAACCAAACAAATACTATAAAGTATATTTTGACAATAAGTCAATAGCATTCAGTTGCAGATTGAAATTTTTGGGAACTGTTCGTCCAAACAGGTTGCCCAATTGCCATTTTTCTGATGACAAGAATATGAAGAAACAAGGAAGAGGTACTGTAGAAGAAAATCATGCTACAGTAGATGGCATAAGACTAACAGTGTTAGAGTGGTACAATAATAAACTGGTTCATTTGCTTAATACATTTGTTGGTTCTGAGCCTACTTCGTTAGTCAAGAGGTGGGATAAGAAACAAAAATCAAGAATTGATGTATGCTGTCCAAATGCAGTGCAATTTTATAATAAATTTATGGGACATGTCGATCTTGTGGATTCACTAATTGCTCTTTACCGAACAGACATAAGATCTAAAAAATGGTATCTAAAAATATTTTTTCACCTTCTGGATTTAGCTGTTGTTAACAGCTGGTTGTTGTATCGTCGTGATTGCAATTACTTTGAAATTGAAAAGAAAAACCAGTTGGCTTTGTTACAGTTTAAGTCCCACTTATGTAGGGTACTATTAGCAAGAACAGGCCAGATCAAAAACAAAGGTCATTCCAGGCTCAGTGAAATTGAGAACTAAATTGTAAAAAAAACAGAAGAGAGGACCTACTGCTATTGTACCAGCAAAGGAAGTTAGGCTTGACCAAACCTCCCACTGGCCAGTATTTTCTGAAAAAAAGGGAAGATGCAAAAAACCAGGATGCTGTAATACTCCTAAAGTAATGTGCCATAAATGTAAAGTTGCTTTATGTTTTACAACTACAAATGATTGTTTCTTTGATTGGCATAATAAATAAGTATATAACTTAATTCGTTAGTTTTTGCTGCCCATAGTTGCCTGACTCAACACTCCCAAAACTCTTTCCCCAAACAAAATTTAAAAAATCTAAAAAAATTACTAGTTGTTGTAAATGCATATTTGAGCATATATATATATATATATATATATTATATATATATATATATATATATATATATATATAAAATAAAACATTTTCTCTTAACTTTACAAAAAAGTCAGGCAATAGAGGGTTAAACTGATAGTCTGAAAAAATAATAATACTTTGGGTAAAATCAGGTAGAATACTGAAAGGTTGAAGCATATTACTGGCCTTGTAAACTTCCTAGTATTCCTTAATGCCCAATAAATAACAGACTGTCCTGTTATAATTGCTAAACTTGCGGCATTAAAAAAAACTTTTGTTATAAAATTTCTTGTAAACAAAAAAAATATCAAATGAATAGTAGTAATAAAAAAAAATCAATATCACCACCTACTGACCGGATATAGGTCTAAAAGCTCTTAATAATCCATTATACAAACAGAAAAAAACAAAAATATGGGGTAATATGAACTTTTAATTACCTATTTTATACAGTTCCTGTTTAGTAATAATATTTTTCGTTTTATATCAAATAAATTCTTCAAAAATTCGCTATTAATAATGCAATTTTATTGTTTTAGTTGATAAAGGTTTTATTAATTATTGCGATTGATAAAAAATCATGTAATTTTATAGACCCTTTCGCTAGAGTTCTAAATTTAACTACATAAATCCTTCATTGTTCCTTTATATAACTAACTGTGCTTTATTAAAAAATAAACTAATTGAATTATTTCAATTATTACTGAATAATCAATGAATAAGAAAGTCTTTTATTAAATTTACCTTTGCCAAAGATGCTGGGTCTGTTACAGGAGTGTCAGTTACCGCATTTATGTTCCTGTTTCCAATAATTGTCCGTATTTCTATTGACTCTGACATTTTTCGTTCGAAACGTAAGCCTTCTTTTAATTATGGTCAAAACTCAACATATGTTCAAACCTATCAACTAGATTCATACAAAATTTAAGTACATTTATTATTAAATTATGTAGGAGCAAAAACACAGACTGCACGGTTTCCGATACTCTTTACGGAACTGTCGAACTGTCAATTTTCAGTATAAACACAATATATACAAATACACAGCATGTCACTTGTGCCTCAATTCGACGATTGCGCATGTGACGTCACGTTCCTAAAACAGGCTCGACATTTGAATTGGCTCTTGAATTCTATGATTGCTATCCTGTATAAAACAACCTTTATCAAAATAATTCCTTTACAAAAATAGTCTTGTATAAAATAAAGGTTTTTATCACAAAATAAAATGTCAGAAAAACCTTATCCCTTGTTTTAACTACAGCATTTTATTAAAAATAATTGTAAGTTTTATGTATGTAAGATATTTTATTTCCGTCTGCTCAAAAACGACAAGCCATCCAATTTATAATTTGATAGAGTCATAATAATTGCTCTACATCAACACAATTGGTCATAATAGGATTTTAGCGTGGTTTAGCATTCCCAGAACCTCTGTTATCAGTTTAAACTATAAAAAAAGAAATTCTTGTCTTTTTTCGGATGAGTCCTGATTGGGATTGACAAGTGACAGTCGCCATAGATGACTATGGAGATAGACCTACAGAACAACCTTAAAATCCTAGAAGAAGAACTTCAAACATAAATATGAAGATAAATACAGAGAAAACAAAATCAATGATAATTTCAAATAAGAGAAAGACACACGCAATACCATTAAACGGAAAACAATTAGAACAAGTGGAACATTTTAAATACCTAGGAGTAAAAATTGAATCAAACGGCAAACAAGACATGGAAATAAATGAGAGAATGGGACGAACAGGAAGCTTATTTAATATTATGAAAACAACATTTTTGGGGAAAAAAGAAATACCGGAGAAGGTAAAAACGGCAGTCGTTAAATCAGTAGTTAGACCTATAATCATGTATAATAGCGAGTCATGGACATTGACTGGGAGACAAAAATCTCGAGTCAATGCTATGGAAATGAGGTTCCTGAGGAAAATAGCAAACAGAAAGAGGACAGACAAAATATGAAACGAAACAATCAGACAAAACCTAAAACTAGAACCAATAAACGAAAAAATAGTAGAGGGGCAACTAAGATGGTTCGGGCACGTGTGTAGAATGTCGAATGAAAGATTAACAAAACGAGTGTTTGAAACGAGAGTGCAAGGGTAAAACAAAGGAGGAAGACCAAGAGTTAGGTGGGTAGACGAAATCAGAAAAGAAGTTGAGAAGAAAGGATTGACATGGGAAAATGCACGAAATCTAACACAAGACCGGAAAGCATGGAGACAACAGTGCAAAACTTAACTCCACCAGCCTTACACCTAACGGTAGAAAGGCTTAGGATTAAGTAAGTAATTCATGGTGTTTTATCGATGACTTGATTATGATTGCAGTTCCTCCATGTGCAGTGCCATCTGGATGTCTGGTGATATATATATTACATAGTTGAGGATTTTCAGATAACTTCTATTTGTAAAGTGTGTTTCAGAGATTAACATTATGTCGGTGTTGTGTATTAATACAAAAGCTTTAACCTCTTGAGCATGAGATTTGGCATTTCGAATAGCTATTTAAGAATTTGATTTCTCTCGTCTCTCAATCCTGACCCCCCAGGGAGTGTATGTGACGTGATGTCGGTAATGTCCGTCTCCAGAGATACTGTCGCTGTCATTTCTTTTAAATTATGCAATAGTTCATTGCATATTCCTGTAATTTGAGATCTATCCATCTTGTTGGGGACCATCCTCGGTGATCTACGGGCCTTCTACCTTTCCTTGTATTATGAGTCTTTGTGCATGTTTTCGGTGTTTGAGCTCCATAACATGCCCAAAATATTTTAATTGTTGAGATGGACTTTACTAGAGAGTCGTTGGGTAACTTTTTTAGCTCTTTAAAATTGAATTATTTGTTCTACGTCGGTCCCAAGAATTCGTAACATTCGTCCTCCAACAGAACATATCCAGTGGCGTCTATCTTTTTCTCTCCATGTCTCAGAGTCCAAGATCTCACATCCGTAGGAAGTCAGTAATTGTGGATTATTAAAGCAGTTTGATCAACCTCATCTTAATCTCTCTTAGAAATTTGAACAGTCCTCCATATTATTGGGTCATTTTTGCATGTGGCAACTTTTGCTAGATCACATCTACTGTTTAATCTCTTCTTGTAATGACCCTGTTTGTGATTATAATTCTCAGATCAAAAGTAAGAGCTCACTAACCTCGAACCCGTCATTGTGTTATGTGAGGATGATTGTTGTGTAGTCTATCCACTATCATGATCTTTTGTCTTTGATGTTATTTAATTGCAGACCAAATATTTGACTTTCGTTTCGATAAGTCGTATAATATCTATCATCTCTGCTTGACTATTTGCAAGAAGGCTGTGTCATCTGCGAAACGTATGTTGTATAGTTATAACCATTTAGTTGGATATGCCCCATGTTCCCATCCTTCAAGTGCACTTCGCATAATATAGCTCCCATATATGTTGAATAATTGTGGAGAAGATACATCCTTGTCTACACCCCTTCTGATGAAACTCGTTCGAAAGTGTATCAAGACTGTTAACTGATCCAGTAGTGTATTCACCATAAATGTCTCACTTGACCCTGTCGAACGTTTACGGTAATCTATAAAAAGATGTATAGGTGGATGTTGAATTCCCTAGATTTCTCGATTATCTACTTATATTCAGCAGGTGTATCTCGAGTCCTCTACCTTGTAAAACCAGTTTGCTCTTTGGAATTTTTCTTGTAGGAATGTTGTCAGTCTCTCATTGATAATAAGTGCATTATCATGCTGGCATGGGATATAAGAGAGATAGTTCGATAATTTTTCGCATTTATGGAAGCTGCCGTTTTTTATGTATGGTCTGTTATGTAAGATTTTGTACCCAGTCTCAGGCATTGTTTGGAATGCATATTGGTTACAGAGTAATTAAGTAACTTTACGCCGGTGTTCTTCGGTGGCTTTAAGTATTTCTGCTGTTATCATATCTGACCTGGTCTTTTGTTATATTAGAGCTTGTAGAAACCTGTCTTACTTCATTTTCGAGTAATATCATTATCTTCTTTTCCACTCGTCGAGAGATTTTGCTTAACAAGCACTTGCGATGATCATCTTATAGGTCCCACAATACGATCTCCATGTCTCTGCTATGTCATTCACTAGTTTGTTCTCAGGTTCCTAGTGTTATATTCATGGGCCGCAGTTCTGGCTCTGAAGTCTCTTGTCAGGTAGCGTAATTTTTCTAAAGAGATCACCGTCGGATTATTCTGACATTGTCTTCAATTTCTTTGATTATACTTTTGATAGAACTGTTTTTTTGTCGGCCTTACACTTCGTTTTATTTCTTTAATGAGGTGTTCTTAAAAACGCTTAATTCCCTTTCACTATGTACACCACTTTTCAAACATTTCTTCTAGTTCTCAATTATTTTTAAAGTTTCATCTGTTATCCAGTGTTTCCGTTTCACCGGATATTTTTCTTGAGCAATCCACTGGTGTTTTTACGCAATGTTTAACATCCCTCCATACTTCTTGTGATGAATTTGATTATTTGTTAATTTATGGAAAGAATTATCGGAGAAAATAATGGCAACTATCAAAACACGAAAGCTTCAATACCTGGGATATGCTGTGCTTGAGAAGAGATAAAGCGTGCTTCAATTGGTTATATAGTTATAAGATATTTGGAAGGAGTAGGCAGAAGAGGGCAAAAACATGGTATGACGAGGAATGTCGGAAACAGCTGAAAAAAGACAAACAGTAAGGAAGACTTGGATACAACTGCAAACAGACCAAAGTAAAAAGGAATATGACGACTGCCGAAAAGAAACAAGAAAAATAATACGCACAAAGAAAAGAAACTATGAACAACAAAAATATAAAGCTATGGAGAGAGACCGGCCCAAACTAGGCTCCATAGAATTCTATAAAGCAATTTCCTCTGAGAAAAGAGGACATAAAACCAATACCATCCATACACTGAGAGACAATCAAGGCCGTATGATCATCGACGGTAAAGAAGTAACTGAAGAATGGAAAAAGTATTTTAGGGACCTAGAGAGATAACATCCAAGCAGATCTCCGGAAAATTAACATTCCATTTGACCCTAGGTTGATGGAAGACCGAACAAATTGGAAAAAGGTTGTACAGTCAGCTAAGACCCACTCAGGGTTGTAGCGCTACGTGATAATGATGAATTGGTTATATAATGAAAGATCCAGGGCAAGAAAAACATATGAGGGAGAAGATTTTCCTGACTACATAACTTGTGGGAATGGAAGGTGTAATAAAGTATGAATTTTATGATTTATGTGATATGTGTTTCGGAAAAGAAAAATAAATAAGCAAGATGTAAACATTTTCAATGAGGTCATGAATTTTTATCGTGGCTGTTGCTTGTGTCTATACAGGGTGTTTCAAACAAAGGTAACCCCGTCTTTAGGGTAGGTAAAAAACTGAAAAATAATTGGGGTTTGCTTAGTAAAAAATTTTTGTAACGCCTTCCGTTTTCAAGACACAGGGCGTTGAAGAAAAAAAAATTTCGCATTTTTTACGATTTTGCCGAAACTACTGGCAACATTGTAATGAAATTTTATACGAATATGTTTTGGAAGCTGATACATCCCATGAATTTGTTTTTATATCTGATTGTACTAAGTATTAGTCAATATAACTTTTTTAAGAGTATAATTATTAATCAAAATTTCAAGTAAACTTAAACATCATTCAATTTTACACGAAAAATGTACTCTTGGTAAAACTCGATACTGTGTGCCGTTTTCGGAATACTTTGATTTGATAATTCAGATACATAATAAGTAATAATTGATGCTGGTAGTAATCATAAAGTTCTAATAGGTATACCTCTATTTTTTCCAAGTTTTCCATGGAAATCTGACATTTATTGACTGTTATGACGATAAATAAATAATAATTAGAGTTTTGAAACGTTGTTATTTGTAAAATCAAGTCAAAATGTACTCGAATGTTGAATACACTGACATGTTATTAACCTTAGGCGAATGTTTAGGATGTTCTAGTGCAGCTCTGACACGTTATGCAGAAAAGTTTCCTAGAAGAAACTTACCAAGTAAAAAACATTTAGAGCCGTTGAACGACGTTTTCGAGAAACTGGGAATATGAGACCAAATAAAATAAATTCTGGTAGACCAAGAACAACAAGAACAATTAATAAAGAAAATAATATTTTAAATTTACTTGATCAAGATCCAACAATTAGCGTAAGGAATATAGCAAGACAAACAAATACTTCTTCTTCAAGTACTTGGCGGATACTGAAAGAACAGCAATTACATCCTATCATTACAGACAAGTCCAAGAGCTCTTGCCAGATGATCTACCGGTTAGAGTGGATTTTTGTGAAATATTGCAACAAAGGACAGCCCACAATCCAAATTTTTTAAAATGCATTCTTTTTACGGACGAGGCCACCTTTATGCGACAAGGTATGTTTAGCTCCCATAATGCACACTACTGGTGTGATGAAAATCCACGAGTCAAAAGGGTATTACATTACCAACACTCATTTAAAGTTAATGTTTGGGCAGCAATTTTAATTAATAGGTTATCATATTCTACCTGGAAATTTAAATGGTGATATGTATCTTGATTTCCATCCAATTGACAGAGTGAACAGCTACACATACCTTAGTACCAACATTAACAGCCAATGGCATCACTCCAGTGAAATAAAACAACGCATAGGAAAAGCGAGATCAGCGTTCATAATGATGAAGTCTCTTTTCAGAAGTCATGATTTACCACTTGCTACCAAAATCTCTCTCATTAGATGCTATGTATTTTCTACCGTATTATACGGAGTAGAGGCCTGGACACTTTCCGAAGCTTCCTTAAGAAAACTCGAGGCATTCGAGATGTGGTGTTACAGACGTATCTTAAGAATTTCATGGGTGGATTGTGTGACTAATGTTGAGGTCCTATGTAGAATAGGCAAGAAATGCGAGATTATTAACACCATCAAAGAGCGCAAACTAGAATATCTTGGTCATGTTATGAGGAATGAACAGAGATACGGCTTGTTGCAACTCATTCTTCAGGGCAAGGTATTTGGAAATAGAGGACCAGGGAGAAGAAGAATATCTTGACTTCAAAACCTGAGAAAGTGTTTAATACATCCACAACCGGACTATTCAGAATAGCAAAGTTAGGTTAGCCATGTTGATCGCCAACATCCGGAACGGATAGGCACCGTAAGAAGAAGAAGAATGCTTTACCCCTGTTAGGATACCTTCAGTAATCTGTTATTTAGTGCTGTTTCTCATTATATGTCCGAGATATTCCAACTTTCTCCTTTTAATGGTATACATCACCTCTCTTTCTTTGCCCACTCGTCGTAATACGGTCTCGTTGGTTATCTTGTCTGTCCATGTATATCCTTAGAATTCGCCTGTATAGCCACATCTCGAATGCTTCAAGTTTTTTCTCCTTGCTCAGTTAGTGTCCAGGATTCAACTCCGTAATACAATATGAGAAGATATAACATCGTAGGAGCCTTACTTTTATCTCCAGATTAAGATTGTGGCTTTTAAAGAGTTTGGCCATGTTATTGAATGCACTCCTAGCCTTCTCTATTCTACATTTTATTTCCTGTGAGTGATCCCATTGTTCATTTACTGTTGTTCCAAGATAGTTATACTGTTTTTTACTCGGTCCACTGGTGTATTATTGATTAAGTAGTTGAGCGTCTCTAACTTTTATTTTTGCTGATGATCATAAATTTAGTTTTGTTATATTTACTTGAAGTCCAAATCTTTCACTTACTTCATTTACTTTGTTTATTAGTTGCTGTAACTGTTCAAACTGTCTGCAAAAATAACGGTGGTCGTCTGCATATAACGGATGTTGTTTAGGCGTTCTCCATTTAGAAGTATTCCATGTTCGCATTTTTCCAAGGCATTCACTAAATATTTCCTCTGAATATAGATTAAATAATATAGGTGAAAGTATACAACCTTGTCTAACGCCTCGTAGAATCTGGATCATTTCCGTTGGTTCACCTCCAAAATTCGTTCTTATTGTGGCTGATTGGTTCCAGTATAAATTTTGTATTTATACGCCGATCTTTATCATCCATTTGGGCTTTTGTTAGAATATCCATCATTTTTTGGTGTTTGAACTGTATCAAATGCTTTTTGGTAGTCCACAAAGCAGGTGTAAATATCGCAAGTCATATCTCTGCATCTTTGAAATAATACTTGTAGACTAAACAGTGCATCTCTTGTACCTACGCCTTTCATGAATCCAAACTGTGTGTCTTGTATTCTCTCTTCGCATAGCTTGTATATTCTACGATGTATAATTTTAAGAAAAAGTTTTAATGTATGGCTCATTAGACTTATTAGCCTATATTCTCCGCACTTTTTTGCTCCCTGTTTTCTTTGGTAAGGTAATAAATTCTGAAAGTAGCCAATCTTTTGGGATATTGCCTGTGTCATAGATATTATTGAAGATTTTACATAGTACTCTTAAAGATTCATCATCAAGAAGTTTAAGAAATTCAGATTGTACTCCATCTGGTCCTGGAGCTCTACCTTCTTTTAGTGATATTATGGCTGCTCTTATTTCTGCCACTAGTATAGGTGGTCCTGTTTCCGTAGGTATTGGGGCTGGTTCTCTCTCTCATCAAAAATATAAATTTCTTATGTAATTTTTCCAGGTATCATTGATACTCTCTTTGTCCACGATTATCTCTCCATTGTCATTAACAAGTTTACTTACTCTTCTGTTTTTACATTTACCTGTAATTTCTCTTACCTTCTTATGCACGTTGAAGTCGTATTTACTTTGAGAATTTCGATTTCTTGGCATTTTTTCTCCAGTTCTTTCTGTTTGGCTTCTCTGATCTTTCTCTGTATCTCTCGCTGTAATGTTTTATACGTGGAGTTATCGTTCTTGTTTTTCCTTCTTCCTTCTTTGGTACAAAGCCACTATTTAGGCCACATTACCTCTGGTAATGTGGCCTTAATATTAAGGCCAAATATTGGCCAGAGTACATTAAGATAGTACAAAAATTGAGAAAACATTTTAAATTCGAACGATCCTGTAGGTAAGTAAGGAAGAAGGAAGTATTTTGATTCTAATTTTCATATTTTTGACTAAGGATTCTTCAATTAGCGCATGTATAATGATTAATAGCACATCCTGTGTACACGGAGAGGTAGTTAAAATGTTAAGTCATCCGCAGCAACGTCTGTGATTGTCGTAAGATTATATCTTTCCGTTTAGGTCACACTGTATTCCAAGGAGAAACATTAATATAATTGGACGAACCGCAGTGTGAGTTTTGGTCTCTGCTTATCGAGCTAAACATGAATTCACGAAAGAAAAAATATAAGGAAAGATTAGTGTATTCGGATAGGAATCGGGGATAGTGAACAACACCTTTTGGTTAAAGCAAATTAGCAAATTCAGGGTTCATTTTTACGCATTTAAACGTTATTGAGGGCATAATAGTATAATGACCACAATAACTTAAACTATTGCCGAACAATTGCGCGTATGATAGTTTAAAGTAGATATATCATCAAAACGGTGTCGCTCTTTTTCTATCTGAGACCAGTCTCACTTATTTAATTTTTAAATTCCACGAATGTCCCAGTTTATTTAGTGGATGTCCCAGTTTTAAATGTAAGGACCAAATATTTGCGTAAGACAGTTACAGGGTAAGTCATTTTTTAATTAAACTCTCTATTGCTACAATTTTATCAAATATGATAATTTGAACGATGTACCACACAAATTTAAATCTCTTACTTATCTATATAACATAAAATCTCTATTAAAGTGGTGGGAGGTGGGTATGTAAATGTATATAGGCTATATGGATGTAAGGCGCTACAAAGAACTTGTTGACCAAGTATTCAAAATAAAAATCATAAATGTCAGATAAGAACAAGGAAACCTGTTATTAAAAATGACCTTCATTTAAAACGTTTGTCTTTTCCTGTTACTTTAATCAATATTTTATTATTATTTTAACTACTTGCATCTGAGATATACTTCTCCTCCTTTGTCCTTTATCCTTCGTAAGGATGTAGTAACTATTACTGACTATTCGTCTCTTTTTTGTGAATGTTGTTTTGATTCTAAGAACGAATAGCCAGTCATGTCCTTTATTTGGTCTGATTATCGCAATGAAGATCTTTATCTAGATATTTTTGCCAGCTAAATTCCTTCAACTATCATTCTTTCCATACTTTTTCTTCTATTGCTAATCTGTCATTATTATAACATTGCATAATAGAGATATTTATGTAGGTCTTTGTGCCAGCTACATTGCCTTTAACTATTATTTTTTCCATATTTTTTCTTGTACTGCTAATCTGCCATTATTATAAGATAGCCTAATAAAATATTATGCGTTACAATCAAATTTTTTAGTGGGAATTCCACAACGTATGTAGCGATTGAGATAACTAATGCTCGAACAATGTATGCTTTTGGTTTTTGCAATGTTAGTATTTTTCCATATTTCTTCTTTTTATATTTAAAAATAGTTCTTTTAACAAAAAAAATAAGATATTCTGGATTACCCAGCTCTCTCCATAGTATAAACCGTATTTTATCCATTTTTACAATATCGCAGGCCTTCAAATAATCAACAAATCACAAGAATGTTTCTAGATTGAATTTCCTGAATTTTTCTACAATTTGACGAAGTTTAAGAATCTTTCCTCTTTTGCCTCTTCCTAAGACAAATCAGAGATATGTAATTACTATTTAAATGGGAATAAGCTACAATTATAGGTTAAAGTACGTTTATTGACGTTTCAATTTCCACTTCGGAAATCGTTCTCAAAATACAAACATTAGTAAATTAAACAAATTTTGCTTTTTTTGTTACTTAGTGAAAAATTCTTCTAATAATTTAATTTTATCTCACTCATTTATATTGACAATTCAGACATACATTAGACATTTTAAAGTTGACGACTTTAAAATGATATTGCCAATATTGTTGAGTTGCGCTCCTGGGACGACTTTGCTTATAAGATAGTTCATTCGATTACATGAAATCAACTTTAACTTGAGAATATCCATCAGAAAAAAATCATAGCTTGTAATTAGTCTTTAAAAAGACCAACACATGCCATGATGACAGTAAAATTCTCCTGTTAGTGATTCCATAGTAAATTATGAGGAAAAACCAGGCAAAAACCTCATAATACTATCCCAACATGGTATTTGGTCGTGGATTTAGTTTAACTTCAATAAACATCAAATTCTGATTTTTTATGTTTTTTATTTAAAAAATATAAATGATATATCCTCTATATGTTACTGACTTACTAATACTGGTATTTTCCTTTTAATAACTTCCTCTTTCAATATGGGTAACCAGATCCTACTACATTCTGCCGAGGAATTTGCGACACAATTGGTCTCATTTAGCATAATTAGAGCCGCTTCTTTGATTTTTCTCTTTTTACCATCCGTTTCTTTTAGGACTGACTATATTTGAATCATTCCATTGAACCCTATGTTCATTATCCCATGCGTGTTTACATATTAGAGATCTATCGAATTCTCTATTTTTAATATTAGATTGATGTTCACTTATTCTAACATTTAATGGCCTTGATGTTTCACCTAAATAAAACTGATGGCATTCACAAGATATTTTATTAATGCAGTTCTTTGTCCTTTCTTGTTCATTTAATGTTCTTTAGCTTAAGATCACCTATTCGTCGACTTCAAGGCCGCTTACCAGTGCTAGACCCAATCAATGCATGAGTTTGGTATACCAGAGAAACTTATCCGATTAACGAAAAATGTCTAACTTAGAAGCTACTGTTAGAATACAGGGAGAGAATTCTAGATCCTTTGAGATAAAGGATGGACTCAGAAAAGGGGATGCTCTGGTTTGCCTCCTATTTAATATTGTCTTAGAAAAGGCAGTCCGAAATACACGAATTAGGGATGGCGGTACTATTTACAATAGATCGATACAAGTCTTAGCATATGCTGATGACATTGACATAATAGGGCGTAGCAAGCGAGATGTTGAGCAATATCTCCTAGAATTGGAAACAGCGGCGAAACAGGTCGGTCTAGTCATCAACAAAGACAAAACCAAGTACATGTTGGTTACAAAGGATCCGATAGCAAATGAGAAACGAGAAACAGTTTTTGGAAGTCATACCTTTGGACGTGTTGACAACTTCACATACCTTGGGTCGCTATGGACTGCTACCAATAAAACAAGCGAAGAAATCAAAAGACGAATAAATCTTACAAATAGGGCATACTATGGACTCCAAAAGCATTTCCACTCAAGAAACATTCAAAGAAGAACTAAAATTATTACATACAAAACATTGCCGAGGCCGGTCCTTACATATGGAGCAGAAACATGGACTCTAACGCAGAAAGATGAAAGACTTTTGGGAATATTTAAGCGTAAAATACTCCGCAAAATATTTGGAGCTATAAACGACCAAGAGCAGTGGCGTAGAAGATATAATTTTGAATTGTATCAACTCTTTGATGAGCCAGATGTCATAACGTTCATTAAAACACAGCGACTTAGATGAGCTGGACACATAATACGAATGCCAGAAAATACGATTGCTAAAAAGCTAACCACAGGAACACCTGTAGGAAGAAGAAGCAAAGGCCGACCGCGAATTAGGTGGTTAGATGGAGTTGAAACCGACTTACGGATATTAAAAATCAGAAGATGGCAACATGTTGCCAGAAACCGAACAGAATGGCGACGAATCTTAGAGCAGGCCAAGATCCACAGAGGATTGTCGAGCCGATGATGATGATGAAACTAGATATTACAAAAGTAACTGACTAATCGAAACAAGATTTATTGTTAGTTGTTAAAAGCATTTGTGACATCAGCCTACTATGTTAAGATTTCCCGCAATGCATTAAATAAGATTGAGGTTGTCTAATGATTACATCAAAACTGGCTTCAAATAAAACATTTAGCAGCCGTTATAAAGCATTTTATAGTGTATTTATTATATATTTATATCTATAAAATGATTTTTGAGCTGTGTTTATAAGAATAAACTGTTAATTATGGTAATCCACAGGTATTCTGTGCTTTAAAGCACAATTATCTGAACTATCATAAATAGTTATTATGCAGCCGATTTGTAAAACGCGATTATCTCGAAAACTATTGAGTTTTTAAGTTATTAACACGTATATTTTTTTGTTGAAATAATGTACCTTTAATATTTTCTGACACACATAGCGATAACTTGAAGATCAAAAAAGTTAAGCTCAAATTTACCAGCGGCTAACATTACTTTGTGCACTTCGCTTTTTATTATGTCGCAGGATCGCATATGTTCTGTCGGTTGTGGTTGACTCTTCCAGTTAATTCCATTTTTGGTTTCAAAAATTACACACTCTGAAATCTGGGAACTTGTAGCTACTCGTTCTTCTCCATTATCACTCAACACTACTTACCTATCATTCTCGTCACTTGCTTCCGAAAGATGATCTTCAATTTCAGAGTCACTTTCAATGCCACCTACTTCAGAAGATTCTTCATCATCGGAATCCCATAAATTATTACCAATATCTTACAGTTCTACAGCTGATAATGGTTTTCGGGACATTTTATTCGCACTATTAACTTTCACTGTAATTCAATATAATTTTAGGAGCTAAGTTGTCGACACTAGGAAGATCGAAAATACATGACAATAATAAACAAATTAATTCTCAAAAATTTAAAATTGCTACATACAACATTAGAACCATGAGAACGAACGACCATCTAGAGGAATTAGAGCAAGAACTAGGGACTATTAAATGGGATATTTTAAGCTTATGTAAAACGAGACTTCAAGGAGAGAAAAAGACCACCATAAAATCTGGGCACACTCTATACCAATATAATTCAGAAGAGAACCACGGCCAAGGAGGACTGGCTTTCATGGTCAACCGAAGAATAGAACACCAGATTGTGAAATACTCAGCACTGTCGAAAAGAGTGGTATATCTTGTATTCAAACTGAATAAACGATATAGCTTACAGATAATACACCGTTATACTCCAACTTACACTACTGATGACGAGTCAATAGAACAACTCTACGAAGATATAATGCGAGCTAAAGATCTAGAAAAACACACTATATTATCATCACCAGAGATTTTAATGCAAAAATAGGGCAGCGAATATCAGGCGACTCAGACTACATAGGAAATTTCGGTCTAGGCAACAGAAACACCAAAGGAGAGACATTAGTAAATTACGTAAGCACTGAAAAAATATTTTGCCTGAACACGTTCTATAAAAAACAAATACAAAGAAACTGAACATGGCGTAGCCCTGACGGCCAGATTAAAAATGAAATAGATTTTATCCTTTCCAGTGATAGATCAATATGTAAAAACATCGAGGTGCTGAACAAATTTAATACCGGCAGTGATCATAGACTAGTTCGTGCCGATATACGTATTAACGTAAAAAGAGAAAGACGAAAACTATTAACAACAAACCCTTTACCGACGGCAGACATCCTAGCCAGTAATAAAGAGAAATACCAAGAGGAATTAGCACGGAAACTAGTAGCAAATACCTTTGAGCACAAGAATATAGATGAACTAGCTGAGAAAATAACTAAAGACATACAGTCACTAAGAAACTTTGTTGCAGAATAAGAAAACAAAAAGAAGCTAAACTAAAACCCGAGACTCTAGAACAGATAAAGAAAAGAAGAAGAACGAACAGAGATAACCCGGACTATAAAGCGCTCAACCGAAGCGTTAAGAAAAATATTCTTGAAATCATAGAGAACAATAAGAACATGAAAGTATTAAAAACTTGTAAATCCACTGGCAGGAATAAAATCATAAAGATAAAAGACGGCCGTGGAACATTGTGCTCGCATAAAGAAGAGATCGTTAGAGAAATCCGAAAATTTTATGAGAAGCTGTATACTTCTACTATTCCGAACCCCGTTATACCAACAAAACAGATCTTAAATGTGGGCTCAGAGGATCTCCCTGAAATAATAACATCAGAAATTAGAGCTGCCCTAAAGCAAATGAAAAATGGGACAACACCAGGAGAAGATAAAATTTCTTCTGAGATGCTAAAAATGAGAGGCACTGATTAGAAGAGGCAATGAGAGCATTACTGAATAAATGCCTATTGAAAGGACAAATACCAAAAGCATGGAAAAAAGTCATTCTACTCCATACTACTAATAAACTAGATGCATACCAACCAGTGGAGCAAGCAGGCTTTCGTAAGGCTTTTAGCAATATCGATCACTTGCAAACAATCCGGACAGTTATTAAAAAAACAATATGAGTATAACATACCACTACATCTGGCATTTGTCGATTATCACAAAGCATTCGACAGTATCGAGAAATGGGCTTTCTTAACAGCATTGAACTGCGCCAGAGTAGATTCAAAATATGCTGTTCTCCATAAGAATATAATACGACGATGCTACTTTTCACGTAAAAATAGAAGATTTCTTCTTGTACAATTACTTAAAGATCACCTTGTATACATGCTGTATATATTGACGTTATTAATGTTTTATTCATGTTAGTCATAAACTAAATTGTTTTAAATATTTCTTTTCTTATTTCTACTGTTTTCTTTAATAAGATTTGTAAATCATTTAGTTTCTGCCAGACGTATATTTTTGTATACTTCTTTTGTCGTTGTTTATTTATATTTCCTTAATGACAAAATAATGGAGAATTTTTTCATCTCATAAGCTTCAGAATAAAATCGAACAAACAAGAAAAGAAGAATATATTTTACACTGTCTAAGAGCCAACATTAGAGGAAAGTCCTATATGTAAACGCATCCTTCGTTTTTCGTCAGTTAAAATATTTTTGGTGGATTTATGTTATTTGTGTATTGTGTCTGGTTTTGAGTATCACCTTCTATTTTTTATCAGAAGATAGTACCTGAATGGGTAGTAAAATGCCCAGCAAAACTCATAAATAAGTCACACTCAACCGACACAGTACAAACCCGGAAGACAAATTGTTTATGATGACTCTGGCCTTGAAACCCCACGCTCTTATTATTCTTTATGTCGGGATTTTTGTCAGTATTATTTATTTGAAATATAAGGTGATTTGCAATTGTTTAGACTTTTCTTTTGTAGTGGGCTGTTGTATTTGTTGATTCCTATTAGAGAGATGATGCGTTTGACTATCATTATCCCTTGATTTTCTCTTGAAACTTATTAAGTTCCAACTTGTTCAACATAAAAATGTTATATGGGAGAATAATTCGTTCTGGGCTTTCCTGTGGTTTGTTGACAAAAGTACATCAGTGTCTATGCTCACTGCATAGTACTAATGTACTTTTACATAAGCAAAATTAACAACCCTAGGAGACTCTTTGTCTAACTTTCACACTACACTCAAAACACTTATGTGTAGATCCTACATTTAGGTTTTAGTTGTAAGAAAGCTTATTATCTGTTTCGGGGTAAGTTTCGGGGCAAGAACTGTTCCAGCTTTAACGAAATACTAGCGGACCAACTCGTTACTCGAAATCGAGTTTTGATGTAACTTTTGCTGATATTTAAGAAAGGCGGAGTCTAACTATCCATCGTTTCCGTCGCCTGGTGTAAATAATTCAAAAAGTGTCTTTTCACTTTTCACAAATTCAGTTTTAAATATCTTGGTTGCCATATTACTGAACAACTAGATCCAGATCAAGAGATAAAATGTAGAATCGAGATAGCCCGCACGACATTTTTAAAAATGAGGTCATTCTTCTGTAATGATAACTTGAAACTTCAACTTCGAAAGCGTATGGTTAAATGCTACATTTGGTCAGTCATCTTATACGGTGTCGAAGCATGGACATTAAAAATATCCACCATTAATCGTCTGGAGGCCTTTGAAATGTGGCTGCACAGACGTATACTAAAAATTCTATGGACGGCTATGCTGACAAATGTGGCAGTCCTTGAGAGGGCAAATGCTGCTCGCGAGCTGCTTGATAAGATCAAATGTAGAAAGATGGCCTATTTTGGACACGTAGTAAGGGGAGACCAATATAATATTCTTCAATTTGTTATTATGATGGGTAAAATCGAAGGACGCAGAGGAATTGGTAGAAAGCAGGCCTCTTGGTTGAAGAATATCAGAGAGTGGACAGGAATAAAGAAAGCTGAGCAACTCTTTAGAATAGCTCGAGACAGAGACAGTTTCGCCATGTTAATCGCCAACGTCAAGGGGACTTGATAGGGCACGTTAAGAAGAAGAAGGTGTAAATGTTCCAAAAATCCTAAAAATAAACTGTATCGACACCAATTTTTTTAAATTGAAAATTGATACAGTAGTTTTTTAGGATTTTCAGGAAGATTTACATTAGGAAACGGAAACAATATGATTGTATTGAACTAACTTTGATTGACTTTAATTTTTGAACTTAAATGAATTAATAAATATTTTGTACTTGAAACTCGAAGTTGATTTTTTTTGTTTGCAATTTAGTTAGTTTAGTTTAGGTTAGGTTAGGCTGGGATATCTTACCCTAAGTAAATACTTCCGGTTTCGAATTCAATCAGTAAGTATAAGAAAAAAGTAGACGCGGGCATATTTTAAAAATACATTAAAAATTAGGGGGAATTTAGGAAAACCTTGGGGGGGAATCTACTCAACAGTCTTTTTAATTATTCGAAAAAAATTATTCTCCTATCTATTACCGTTAGGAAGGAGTATTGCGCACAAGAAAAGGGCTTAGCCTTTTAGTATATAAGATAAAAATACATTGAAAATTAGGACTGTAAATTTTGAAGAAACCTGTAAAATTCCTATATTTTACAGGAAAATATTTTGGTTTGATATGGAGTAGTAGCTATACCGTACTGAGGAGATCTAAAGAGATCGAAATACGTATATGCGGCTTGTTGCTGCTCTGTATCAAATCAAAATCTAATACCGTCATTTTGTTTTATTTAAAAATTATTCTACTCTACATTCTTGTCGGCAACAGGAGAGAGAATTCATTCTTATTAGTATTGGTTCGTCTGCATAGCAGATTATTTTAAGTTGTTTTTCTCCCATTTGGTATCCTTTTTTAGTTCTGACATTTTTTATTATTTCATCCATAAACAGGTTGAACAATAGAGGATTCAGGTAATCTACCTGTCTTATCCTACTGCCAGCTTCAATGGGATCAGTTAGTTCTTCTTCTACTTTTACTTTTATTGTGTTGTTTTGGTAGATATTTTCGATCTTTTTGGAACGTACTCAAATGCACTTATACTATTTTAAAATCTAAAATTTTCCAACAAGTAACATGTTATTTAAAATTAGAGACTAATACTCTTATCATTTGCAGAAAAAGAAATATGGACCAAAAGTAGGAAATAGTACTAAAGAGATTCATCAAGTACGTACAACATATTTGGTGCTGTTTCCCCACTCATGGAGTCCCCCAGTCAGTCAAATGTCTTGAAAGCAAGTCCTTCGTTAGATATGAAAAAAATCTCAAGTAATTCTCAAGACAATGTTGACAATGAGAACGGAGTACTGCCTGATGTTGTTGCAACAAAGATTTTTAAACAAGAGGAGCAGTTTGAGGAGAGTTATTTGTCTACAGCGGTACAAGTTTTTATTCCGTTTTTGATTGCTGGATTTGGGATGGTATTTGCTGGTTTGGTATTGGACAAAATTCAGGTAATTTATCTTTTTCTACACTAGATATTGCCGGGTTCTCTTAAACAAGTCTATATACTCAGAGACACTATTAGCAACTGTAGTTATTGAAAACAATTTTAATCAAATTTTAATCATCTTAAAGATTGTATGTATTATATATAATTTCTTTTAGCATTGGACAGTATTTGAACAAATTACAGAATTAGTAATCTTGATTCCTGCACTTCTTGGTCTAAAAGGCAATTTGGAAATGACTTTAGCATCAAGATTGTCTACACAAGCCAACTTAGGTCATATGGATACAACTAAACAAAAAATAAGTATTATTGTTAGAAGTTTAACGTTGATACAGGTAAGACATTTTGAACAATAAAAGAGATTTATATTGATTGATTACTATATTTCTGCATGAAGAAAATACCAAATAAATTTAACCGTTTTTCCTTTATCACAGTGAAGAAGCTGAATACATTATCCACCTAGATGAAGTCCAAAAAAAAAATGATAAAAACAAACGAAAAAGAACGTTGGTAATTCAAAGCTACAAAAATAAGAAATGTCATTGTCAATGTTATATGACATTAGTATAGTGATCTCACCAAGACCTTTGCTTAAAGTAGCGAAAACGTATTTTTGATCAAATACAGTTAATTATCGCCCACTTACGGAAGAATGGACGATATAAACACATGATTAATCATCAAAAGATGAATATTATTTATTAAAAAGCAGTCTTGATCTTTTGGACTAAAACTTAACTTAGAGTTGGTATATACAACAAATTTTTCAGACGGTAGTGTGGAAAGATCTACAAAGCCAAAAAAACTTTTTTGAAATCTACAACATATTAATAAAAATGAAGTTTTGTGTAGAAATTTTTTTTTTAGTGTCAAGCCATAGTCGTGGGGTTTCTGGGTGCTCTGGTGGCAGTTGTAATGGGTGGCATCAAAAGCAACGATGTCGAATTAGACCACGTATATCTTTTATGTGCCAGTAGTCTAGTAACAGTTTCGATAGCTAGTTTTTTATTGGGACTTATTACAGCTGGAGTAATAGTGCTATCCAGATATTGTCATATCAATCCCGATAATGTAGCTACGCCTATAGCAGCCAGTTTGGGAGACATTACTTCGCTAGCGTTATTGTCATGGGTTGCAACCATGTTATATGAATCAATAGGTAAGACGAAATCTTGAAGCAGGGGAGATTGGGGTACATTAGGAAGTGGTGTACATTCGTCAGTCGTTAAAAACCGCCATATATTTAAATTTTCTGATAACAAATTAGTTAATGTGCTAGTGAAAATTGAAGCACTGAGTACTTTGTGGTAAAAGTTATTTTATTGTGATTTTTTTGAAGAAAACGAGGTACTTACCTAAATATTTTACTACAAGTAAATTTTAAAATTTTTGTGATTGGAAATTAATATATCAACTCAGCAACAGCAACTCCTTTGCTGTCTATATGACATAGATAATTGACTTTACTTTGAAATAACTGATACTTCTTGAGGTAACACCAATTGGGTAGCTTTAAGTCGACTAACAACATTTTAAAGATGGTCTTCAAATACACCAAGTACCTTTATCAAGATAACCCTGACAACACAATTATCATAAGTTTTTCAAATGTCGCAGCAGCATTACAGAGTCCAAATAGCATAACGCTGTATTGCCAAAATCCAGATCCTGTGGTGAAAGCTATCTTCTTTTCTACCGGGTCCATTTGTACCTACTAATATTCATACTGTAAGTCCAAAATAAAAACAATTTACTTCCAACCAATGTATCTATTGTGTCGCCGATACGAGGCAGAGGACCTTTTTTTGTGGTAATATTGTTCAACAAACTATAGTCCACACAGAACACAGTTCCTTTTTAACCAAGACCACCAAAGACTGGTAGAAGGTTTTATCGCCACGTCTTTTTTCATTTATCGAACAATCGTTTCAGCTCTCTCTCCTCTCGTATGTGGTAATTGTTGAGCTGTTTAAGGAATTGGCTTGGCATTACCAGTCAATCGATGTTATGCTTGACAATGGCAGTTCTTCCGGTCTTTCCTCCTTTCAGTACGAAGATGTCACGATATCGCCGAAGAAATTCCCTTAATTTCATTTTCTCCACCTGATTTAGAGACTGGGCAGCAACTGCAATCATTTGGTCTACCCCAGCACTGTGATGAAGGTACCTTGGCAATGGAGTTTCGTCATATTGCATCAATTAAACGAAATAAGTTTAATAATATAAAATTAGTTTATGTGTTTAAATAAATTGGCAAACGAGTATCATAAATCTATAAACATTTTTAAAAATATATCAAAGAGATGTAAATATGATCAACAATAAATGGGCAGTGTATTTTGTATACAACTATCGAATGTACCCCACTCTCCCCTACACAAATTTTAATTTAGTCATTTATAGACTAAACTTTAGATGCTATTAAATAGTTTTCTCTAAATTAGCATTTGTACTGTAAATACTGTATTTTTTTTAATTTCCCTTATAAGTGTTCTTTATTTTATGGATAGTTTACACCTATTTCTTATACGCTTCATGTTATACAAATCTGGTATACTCAATCAATATATCAATATTTTAATAACTAGTATTGATGCAGAGTCCTTTTGTAGTTTTTATTAACTGAAGACACTTGTATATGAAGCGTATAAATGCAAAACCAGATATTTGACCTATAAGTCCGTTGTGTAGTTTTTTACACAACGGATAACAACCTACTTTCCTTTAAAATATTTTTAAACAATCCTTTACCACTATCATCTGATCATCTGTTCGACGTAGTGTATCCTGCATGTACATAGATCCAATTGGCTTACATTCACTAGCTGTAGTATTTAATATTGTCTAAATATTTTCACAAGGAAAATAAAGTTGCCATCTACAGCCCATAGAGTGACATCGTCTCAGGCTCAGCAGCCACATTGGAGTCTTACGTTGCCATGCAGGCTATAAATTAATAACTTTAACATCACACTAAGTTTTTGACAAAAATATAATAAATAACAAATTTTTCACCAATTTAAGGGTTTTTATCCACATATGTAGTGGAATGTCTCATGTACACGTCGTAAATGCACTGATGATGAACTAGTAAGTCCGAAAACGTTCTTGTTTGAAATCCAGTGGTTAGAAATTGTCGAAAATATTTCTCATCAATTCTTTGTTGGTCCGTAATGAGTATATAATTTTAGTCTTCTTCTTCTTCTAGTTCCATGACCGTTATCGATCGTTGGATATCATGTTGGCTACCATATTCGCTATCGTGACTTTATTGACAGCAGCTCTAAATAACGATGTAGTTGATTTTCCATACCATTGCCTTAGATTCCTCAGCCATGATGTTCTTCTACTACTAGGACCACGATTACCTTGGATCTTTCCCTGAATGATCAGATGTAAAAGATCATATTTTTCAGGGTATCTCATAATGTGACCGAAGTATTCCAGCTTGTGTTTCTTTATTATATTGACCAGTTGCGTTGTTTGGTTCAGCCATCTAAGGACCTCCTCATTTCTAACTCTGTTGACCCAGCTTATTTTTAGTAGTCGTCTGTATATCTACATCTCAAAGGCTGTCAAGCGTTTAAGGATAGCCTCAGTTAGAGTCCACGCTTCCACTCCATACAGCAGGACAGGAAAGATGTAGCAAATTGTCATTCGAACTCTAAGGTCAATGCTAAGATCGTGACTGCAAAGTACGTTTCTCATTTTTACAAAGGCAGCTCGGGCTTGTCCTATTCGTCTTTTAATTTCTGCGGTTGGATCCCAGCTCTTATTGATATTACTGCCGAGATACACGAGTTTCTCTACTCTGTCCAGTGTGGCATCTCCAACTTTTATACCGTCATCCTGTATATAATTTTGTTTGCTATATCATATATTTAGTTTTCTTAACGTTGAGTTTTAATCCATACTGTTCACAAATCTATTTTATTTTGTTCATTAGATTTTGAAGGTCTTATCCGCAATTAGCAAGCACTAAGGTATCGTCGGCATAACTAATATTGTTGACGGTTACTCCATTCACAATAATACCTTCGGTTGTCTCCATTAAGGCTTCCTTAAATAATTCCTCCGAATATAAGTTAAAAAGTAAAGGCGACAATATACAGCCTTGTCTCACTCCTCTTTTTATATTTAGTTCATCCGACAGTTCTTGTTCAACCTTTATTCTTTCCACTTGATGCCAGTATAGATTTGTAATTATTCGTAGATCTTTATCGTCCAATCCAGCTGTTTCCAATATTTCTAGCATTTTGTTATGTCTGACTTTGTCAAAAGCCTTTTCAAAATCGATTGCACAAATGTACACATTTTGATTTATATCTCTGCATCTCTGTACTAGCACCTGTATACTTAACAAGGCTTCTCTTGCTAATAATTTTAGTAGCAAATTTTATTTAATGTTTAAGTGAGTGTTACAATATTTTGCCGTTTCAAATGTAAAATATTCTTCTCAAATTGTTTAATAATGCAACCCCACTGCATAGTTGTTTTTATTGTCTAGGCGATAAAATATTTCGTGGAACTACTAGTCACTGCATTTAAAACCAGCCGTAAGTACCTACTAGGTACGGTATCAACGGCGAAAATTTTGACTATCTAATATTCTAAAAACAGAAATTTGTTTCTGGAAGGTATTTCAATGATTTTAAGATGATTCTATATACTCTACCTGATTGTTTATATAGTAAAAAATTTTTTAGGACAACAAGATTGGTTAGCCCCATCTATAATAGCAGCATATTTACTAGCGATTCCTTTGTGGGTATGGATTGCTAAAAGGAACTACCAAACTCGAGATGTTCTGTATTACGGTTGGACGCCAGTAATAGCAGCCATGGTAATAAGTTCCATTGGAGGTTTAATTCTGGACTTTATGGTTTCTAGATTTGAGGGTATTGCAGTGTTCCAACCAGTGATAAACGGTGTTGGAGGTAATCTAGTTGCCGTACAGGCAAGCAGAATTTCAACAGCTCTTCATAAACAAGCTGAACTTGGTATACAATCATCAGAAAATAATACAGACAAGGAGATGGTTATTTTCATTTCGCCCTTAACCTGCTTTTGTGGAAAAGATATGCACTCCAGAACAACCAGGGTCCTTATGGCAATGGTAATACCGGGTCATTTAATTTTCATCTACCTCATAGATTACATTAAAAGTGGAGACACTTCTCTTCGGTCCTGGTTTATAGTAGTGTATTTATGCGCAGCTGTGACCCAAGTAGCAACCCTACAGTATATAGCATACATTATGATTCACTGGATGTGGAATAAAAAAATAGATCCTGACAATTCTGCAATTCCGTACTTAACGTCTATTGGGATCTTCTAGGAATATCTTTACTAGCATTTGCCTTTCAGTTTTTGAATCTGATCTCAGATCCTAACACTGAGGTCCACGAAAGTTGATTAGTTTGTTGTTACTATTTATGATTCTTCAAAACACTTATAATTCTAAACCTAACTATATATATGTTGTAATAGGTGAATACCATTAAAGATTATATTACAGAATAAAATTAAAAATGAAATTTCATCGCTTTGTTAATTATATACTTTATTTTCACAATTGTGTTTTTCTTTTTCACCTCCATAAATAAAAAATATAGATATCAGACAGAAAAAAATAAGTAATTATAGAAAATCAGTTTAAATAATGGTACATATTTTGCAGCAAAAAGTCTTAAGAAACAAGATAATGAGATCCTTCAGCTAAGATAAAGTTTATAAGGTAAACTAAGAAAGAAAAAGTGAGCAAAAGAATAATCGCTTAAGTTTTAATTGACTTCTGACATTGATTATAAACCACTATCTAGATAAACTCGGTTTCATCGTTCTTGGCGTGTGCCTGAAATAAGCTACTACGGAATTTTTAATATTCACAATTCACAATTCAATTGTGCGAGTCACGTTTGTCATGGTAAAGTGTGATGAGAAGGGAATGAAGAGACCACTCACGTCTCCCAGTATTGTAGCAATAATACCGATGCGTTTGGCCGATACGGTGTCGGTGATAAGTTCGGCCTCTTTACGAATACAGATAGCTTCCACTGGAGGAGGTAAACGAATCGAGCTTAGACAAGGAAAGACAGATGAAACAACTTATTGCAAGTGTTTTTACACGCACACGCCAAGAAAGATGAAAACGTCTATACCTCATTCTAAGGTAAAAAACGAATTCAGTGTTAAACTCCGCCCACTTACACCTCTTTGCCTCTCACGCCTAGTACTACCTGACATTAATGTATGGTGGCGACATTAATTGAAATCTTTGCCTAGATTGAAAAATAAATTTGAGTTCCCTGCTCCGGCGATTGTGTAGTGCAATAGACCACAATATAAGGATGGCATTCAGCCTTTTCACAAATAATTTTAACGTGCTTGTAATCTATATTATGAAATTCCGATTTTACTTCAGAGAAAACGCTAAAAATTGATCAATGAAAACAATAAAGGTTTTCTAAAAAATATTTATTTATCAATACAATACAAAAAGATAACAAAATATAAAATACATAATAAAATTAGCAGTGATAAATTACATCTCATGTAAATTATTTTTTGTAACTTTTCAAACAAATTAATTTCCAAACTTGATGCAAACTAAAATATTTCAAGCTAATATATATAATTTATTTCCAGATTTAGTCCATTCACTCACGGCAAAATATTCAAAAATCATTTTTTATATTTCTGAAATATCAAATCACATATTAATATTACCCAAATACTTTCTGAACTTATTACCCAAAAACTGAATATTAACAAAAGTGTGCACGTATTTGCTTTTATTTTCTAACAGTACCTGTAACATGAATTTGGTTGCCGATTTTCTGTTTTTTGTTGTTCTTTTACAACGCTGACTGTCCTTCTGACAGCACTTCTTCTTTAAAGCATTTACTTGATACTCCAATTTTTTTACCTTCTCTGTCAATTCAGTTTCAAGTTTTGTGGGCAAATTAATTTTAAAACTGGAAATATCACTGAGACTACTACTTAGGCGATGGAGTTGACCTAACCATACAATCGCCGCTTGTAGATCTTTTATCGCAGTTTTTTTGCCAAATTTTTGTACACTCTACGTCTTTTAGGGGAAATTTAAAGAAAGATATATTATTATTTGTTACATCGTTTCTTTCAAAACATCCCGCGTAAATACACTGATGCGTTACAGAGGCCATTTTATCTAAAATGTGAGTCCTTTTTTTAATAAAATTGTCACAGATAATTCACCTATAGGGTAAGTTCGGCCCTGACAATACTCCTACCCCCTCGCAAGTCAGAGAGAGAATGAGAAATCTCGATACGGTTTTCGAGTAACGCCATCTAGTTGTTGATACGTCTTTCGGTTACCACGAGGTGATCCCCAGAGCAGGTTAGATTTTACTAATTCTACTACCTGATCCAGAGGTACTTTCAGTGGTATGAATGAATTAGGTGTGTCAAGAATTATTTCATATATTATTGAAGAATCTGACAGATGCCAGGATCGTACTTAGCCACAGGGGGTAATTCCGTATATTAATAAAAATAAAAAGTAAACAATACTGTTTATTAAATTTGTAAATATGGAAACATTTAAAATTGACGACAAAATGATTTTTATGAATTTTTGTATCTTCTTCTTCTCAAGGGGCTGTCTGCGCGTCGGAAAGTGGCAATCATCACAGCAATTTTTAATTTTGAGACGTTAGACTCTAAATAAGTCGTTATTACATGAGTTACGTCTACTTCCTATGGATCTTTTTCTCCGGATTTTGTCTTCAGTCTCCTCACGTCAATTTTATTCAGTGTCCACGCTTCCATCCCGTATTATAATACGGATAGCATGTAGCACCTCAGCAGTCGTTTTTTAACTTAATGTTTAAATTTCTACAGCAAAGAAGCGTCTGTATTTTTATGCATGCGCTTCTGGCCTGTTTGATTCTGATTCGTATTTCTTGAGAGCTGTCATTGTTTTCATTAATAGTTGTATCTAGGTATTTGAATTCTCTTACTATTTCAATGGGCTAATTGAGTGTAATAGAAAATTATAGAAAAATACTGCCAGTGGAGAGTTTCCTTAAAGATATATCCTTATACGAATTCATGGTGAAATATTTCGGTCATAACCTAGCAAAACATTAATTAGAGAGGAGCCAGTCAGATTTGGATATAAGAATTGGATGATAACTGGTTCCACTGAATATGATTATGGTTTTCACGTTTGTTGCAAAAAAAAAACGAATGATATTGAAGATAATAAAAAAATACCACATACTGATTCGCTTACTTTATTGGTATAATCAGAATCTTTTTGTATTCCTTCATTTGCTAATCGCCTTATGTTTGTCAAAGAAATTTCTAACGCCTCAGCAACACGCTGAAATAAACAGTACATAAAACAATTTTATTTTCAGGGTAATTTTCAACTTATTTCACGAACAGCAGAAATTAGTAATAATGTTTGTCCAGCTTCCTTTTCCAATTGAAAATATTTAAGCAATTTTAATATTAGTACTTGTTCTTTTTCAGTATATCTTGTCATCTTGTACAAATACAAATAAAACCACAATCACAATACTATGTAAAACAAAATACAAAATAAAATTATACAAAACAAATACTGACCTGAACGACAGCCGTCACTTGCTGTTCGAACACTTTCAAAGAATGGCCATCAGCATGGACGAAGTTTTACGTCAACTGTCAGTAATAGGCGTATTTGATTGGCTAGAGATTGGTTCTTCTCCTTGATAAGAACTAGTGTGCCAATATTAATGCCTTTGGCATCTTGTTTCCATTTTTTCCGCTGCTGCAGCTCTCCTATGAACTCCTTAGACCACCTTGACCAAATGTGCTGCACCATTTTTTGAAGGCGCTGAAAGTGATTCAATCTATTTTCGTTTATGGACGTCAAATTAGGTTCAGGAATGGCTGTCAAAGGCCTTCCGATCAGATAATGAGCCGAAGTCAAGGACAAAGGTCATTGGGGTCTGATGAAAGGGTAGATATAGGACGACTATTAAGGACAGATTCTATGTGGGTGAGTTTCGTAAAGAATTCCTCATACGTGAGGTGAGCATTGCCGACGATGCGTTTTCATTGACTTAATGCCGGCCTCCCAAAGGCCACCGAAGTGCGGCGATTGTGGAGGTATGATACTTTCGATTATTGAGTGGTCTTGAATCTCACGCTTATTAGTCTTAATAAAATCATAAAACTCTTTTAGTTCACGATTGGCGCCCTGAAAGTTAGTTCCATTATCAGAGTACATGTTAAGAGATTTTCCTCTTCTGCTTACAAAGCGCTTAAAAGCTACTATAAATGAATAAGTAGTTAAATCGGATACGAGTTCTAAATGAACAGCACGAGTTGTGAAACACACGAATGAGGCTACATATGCCTTTAAAAGTTTGCATCTACGCCGCTTTCGTTCCTTGACTAAAAAAGAACCGGCGTAATCTACGCCTGTGATATAAAAGAGAGGAGGATGGGTCAACACGATTCTTCGGTAAATCACCCATAATTGGAGACAGATTTTTAGGTGGACTTGCACGACAACACCTAATACATTTATGGACGATACGCTTGGCTGCATTTTTGCCATGAATAGGCCAAAATTCATTTCGCATTGTAGATAAAAGAAGAAGACGAACTGCATGACACAGTTTAACGTGTAGGTCTGAAAGAATTAAACCTAAGTAATTATTAAATAGCAGCAAAATAGGATGTCTTTTCTCAAAAGAATAAGATGAGAATCGTTTGGAATTGTGCGCCGCACAATTCCAAAGGAGGTATGCTAATCACCTTAGGGGTACAACCTTGGATTTTGCGCATAACTTCTTCTTCTAGTTCCATCACCGTTATCGATCGTTGGATATCATGTTGGCTACCATATTCGCTATCGTGACTTTATTGACAGCAGCTCTAAATAACGATGTAGTTGATTTTCCATACCATTGCCTTAGATTTTTCAGCCATGATCTTCGTCTTCCAGGACCACGATTACTTTGGATCTTTCCCTGAAATGATCAGATGTAAAAGATCATATTTTTCAGGGTATCTCATAATGTGACCGAAGTATTCCAGCTTTGCGATGAACCAAAACATGTCCATCAGAATCAACACTCTTAACATATTGCAGCATCATATGCCTTGTTGCTGGCATCAGAAAAACCATGCAGCTCACAAGAGATCGAATCCTTTAATTTTACTTACTTATAGGTATTTTGACATTATTTAATTATTATTAATTATAATTAATAAAAATTATTTGGGGAACAGATTCATCCCAACCTTGCTTTTCTTGCCAAAGAATTTGCATTATAATCTTGGCCCGTAATTGTGCAAACGCTAAGCAGCCCAAGAGCATTATAGATCTCAGCAATACCAGAAAAAATTAGTATCTTCGTTACCTTATTAGGATTAGGTAAATCAGCTACCTTATATGTTAGTGTGTCTGAATGACACATCCAATTTAGACCAAGTACCTTTACTTTTTCTTCACCACCGAATGATTTTAGATTTGCTAGACACTTGGAACTTTGAATTTTATTGAGAACTACTGGATTATTCGATACCCACTTCCTCAACTCAAAACATCCGCTGTTTAAGATATTGTTGATATCCTTGCATGCATTTGACAATGACTCTGCGCAATCTCCACCTGTCAGAAGATCATCAACATAGAAATCTCGCTTGATGATCTTAGAAGCAGTAGGGTGAAGATCTTTATTGTCGGATGCTAACTGAAATAAGCAACAAATGACCTGAAACGAAGCTGAAGCTGTTCCATATGTGACCGTATTTAGCTGATATGTACTCATATATGAACAACATTCATGAACTTGCCCGACAACACATCCAGTTAGCCAGTGACAGAATGAAAGATCAATACGATTCTCGAATGAAAGCTATGAAGTAGGTGATCTTGTTTGACTTTATAATCCACAGCAGTCTTCAAAGCTTGTCTCCTAAATTGCAAAGACAATGGGAAGGTCTGTATGAAATTAAAAAGAGAATAAATGACGTAATATACCGAATTAAGAAGTTGCCGAAAAGTAAACCAAAAGTAGTCCACATAAATCGTCTTACACCTTATGTCTGGCTCAAATGAAACAGAAGAAGCCCGAACCCTTCAACATGAGATCAAAAATGACCGGCAATCAACTTTAATGAGTTTATGTCAAATTATGCCGAGAAGAAAGAGTGCTAGATTCGGCGGGACGCAGGATCTTTTTAGTGTTCCGCATAACGTCTCTCTAGCCCACTCTTTGCCCAAGATCTTGAGATGACTAAAGGAATCTCATCTGTGTATTTTATAGAATTTCGATCATTTAGACGAGTTAAAAAATCAGCAGCCTAAAGTTGGAAGAGTACTGAGATTAGAAGAATTTGGCCTTACCCAAGATAGGCCATGCACTAGATAATCTGGATTGGAAGATTGTCAGAAGCATGCTTGAAGTGATCTTCCGAGAAACCGGCGTAACAATTATTGTGTGTTGCACTAATCCGAAGAGATACGTGTCCTTCAAAGACAGTACTGTTATTTTCTTTTTGAGGGGTTCATGCAGAGCTGGAGAGTCCTGTAGATTCCGCCATCTCGAGACCTACATATACAGTTGCTGATCGGGACGCTCATATCTAAGGGGGAGCAGTGTTACGAACATGCATTCAGCGTTACCCGTGTAACGGTTGCATCACGAAAGCGACTAGACGTTTCGAGCGATATCGAGTGCGAGAGAGAACAACCCGTCGCGTAGGCGAATTCGAGGTGGGAATGTTTTAGAACATAGTAACTTTGGTATATATATGTAACGATGTTATGAGTTGAGTTTAGGTTAAGATATTACCGAACTGTAAACTTATAAAATATATTTATATAAATTCGAACCGCTCGTTTTATTTAAAAACGCTACACTACATAGTTCTGCGATGTCAAATGCCTTTCTAAAAGCACATTTTGTCAGCATTTGTCCACTTCAATAGTAAGTATTCTTCTTATAAATATTATTTTTAGAAATAGGGAAAATAGGAGTATTTACGAAAACAAAACAAAATCTAGTTTTTTCTTTATTAACAAAAGGCCAAAAAAATATGAATAAAATTACAAATTAATATAATATTTTAGACGTCTTAACAATAACAAAAAACGTAATATATGTGGTTCAGTGTATAATGGCATTAAAATTAATTCTAAACATAATAATTATAAAGTATTGAAATGTTGTCAAATTATTAAATAGGTACATTTAGCTGATCAACTTTTAGTGTTTATTTTCTATAGAATATGGTCCACTTAAGGCGACTACATTTGTCAACAGCCTTGAAAAGTTTCAATATTTATGTTATTGGCTAATAATGGGAAAAAATTACATTTTTAGACTATTTGCTGACCTAGGCGGCACATACACACCTACAGGCATAAAGATGTATAAATATATTTAATATATAAAGCGCCAGCAAGACAAAGAAGACTTTAAAAATTGATCGGAATATTGGATATTAAGATATAGATATGTATATCTAATAAAATTAATTAGAACTGTGGGAACATAATAATATAAAAACTAATAAATTAATGTTAACGGATAAGGCCACAATAGCACAAAAATTACCAATAATTTATGTCAATTACATATGAGGTGCCAAAAAATTTGAGGGTTTTATGTAGCTGGCTAAGTGCTACTACGAACATAGTCGTTCATGTTATAAGTCCTTGAAGATTGTAATAAAAGTTTTGCCCTAGACAATTAATAATACATTTAATAAAAACTTTTTGTTCATATAAAATAATTACATTTTGGCACTCATCCTTTTATTAACTGTTCAGTCCAATGACTTTAAGTGAAGTTTAGTTGATTTAACTACAAAACAAGTTTATTCTAAGCCTAAGCTATGCTATTGCATGGAGAATTGCTATGACTTCCTCATAGTAAGCATTGTATTGATCTCCCAAATAATACGCCTCAAATGATCTATAACCTCTTTCAGTTGTTTGTTTTTTAAGATAACCTGCTCCATCACTTCCTTGCTCTCATCACAAGCTGTCCGGTATGCTTCAGAATTCTTCTTCTCGTCGTGCTTCGGATCTAATTCGTCTTTAAACGGAATCAAACTTTCGATATGTGTGTATTCCATTCCTTGTAGTTGGCAAATTTCATTGCATTTTTCGTATATCAAACGCAGTCTTTTGAACAGTACTCTAATTGTGCGTAGAAGTTCTTGAACCTTGGCCTTCTTTTCGTTGCTTGTGTTAAGGGATTGGGGAGTCCCATTAGGAGGCTAAAAAATACTAATCACTATATAAAAGTTAAAAAAAGAAGTTATTGTGACTTCATATCAGAAGTGAAAACTTCTTAAATTGCATTGAAATTATAAGTATGATGACAAAGAAATTAAAATTATGAGTAAAATGAAGAATAAATTAGGTTCATAAGTGCACAACGAATATGAACATGATATTCCCTTCTTTTTGTATATGCCGGCTGTCTCTTTGATTTTCCGGTGTATGTTAAAACTGTCATGAAAAAAACTGTCAGAAAAGTATTAGGGACCATATATGGCGGAGTTATCAAACAGTGTCTGCGGAGAAGCGATACAACTTCGAACTCTATAGCCTTTTTGGTGATGCAAATACCGTAAAAACCATCAAAATAAACCGCCTAAGATGGGTGAGCCACGTTATGCAGATGGATGAAAGTGATCCATCTAAAATAACCATGCTAAATAGGCCTGTCGGAAGAAGAAGGACCTAAACACACATAAGGGTCTCTGTAGTGCCATTTTGGTAGTCGCCTTGTTTGTTTTTACCTTAATCTATTCTTTATATCTTTTCCTTTCATTTGCCGTGTCGCATGTTAAGATTCGATCACTTGTTCGTTTTATACTCAGCCAGAAGCCTTCTTTAAGTTAATAAATCAAATTTTGTCTTATAGTAAATATATTTTCATCCATAGTGCTCTATGATATCTCGTATGTAACTATATGTTCATTAGTAATTAAGATAACGTGTAAAGCCCTTTTGGTAGTCGCCTTGTTTGTTTTTTTTTTCATCATAATATATTCGTTATGTCCTCCAATTTCATTTGCTATGTTGCATGTTAGGATTCGATCAGTTGTTTATTTTCTACTTTGCCAGAAGTCAATAAATCAAAATTTCTCTTGTAGTAAATCTATTTTCATCCAAAAGTAACATCTGATATCTCGTATGTAACCATATGTTCATTAACATACTACATTAACGTAATTGTCTTGTTTGTATTTTCTATTTTAATATAATCGTTATCCTCTCCCTTTTCAGTGAACGCATTACACGCTTCAATCGGACCAATAACAACGGAGATATGATGTAATGCTCTTTTGGCAATGGCCATATGTTTGTTTTTCCTTCTTATACTAGTTACCCTCTCTCCTTTTCGAACGAGAACTCATACATTACGATCCGTCGAGCGTTCCTCGAGCTGTGCGATCATAATTTACATAGCGGTGACAGTCGCAAAATCTGTCGGTCATTCAATGCTTTTTTCCCTATCCAAAAAGTGCACAACGTCGCTAAAGAAGTTTTCACTTAAAAAATTATAAAAATTGAAAAGGTGGTTGTTGATTCTTGCTCAGGTATATGTAAATAACAGTTTTAACCTGAACCTGAACCTACATAGAATGTGTTTTGCTTGTCTACTAACCTGAATCTGTTTCAAAGTCTGAAATACTTCCTGTGTTCTACTAATAATATCCTGAACAGTTTCTTGACCCAATCTACACAAAGAAGCAGTATTGAACTCCTTGGCTTGCTGTTGTTGTTGTTGCTGTTGCACAGGAACTGATGGGGGTGTTGGGGCAACTGTTGGAGTTTGTTGAGGCATTTCATGGTGATTCAAAGCAGGAGCAAATTCTGTAAAAATATATGTTACAATTTACTAGCATTTGATTTGTCAACATCAATATATTATATGAATACAGGGTAGGTCTTAGTTAGCTGTTAACACACATTTACAAACAAATTTTGTTACCGTAAAGACTTATTAGTATGAATAACCCAATCAAGTAAAAAAAGCTAAAAAAAATCTTATACAGGTGTTTTGAAGGTTCTAAAAGGTATATGAGGGGTAGCTGATAAAAAATCCCTGACGACTTACAGCTGATTTTGCTTTGTTTGTTTTTTAAACTATCTTAAAAAAAAGAAAAAATATTTTTTGCCTATTAAACTTTTTTTATACATTTTAGAGAAAAATGGTTCAAATATAACTTGTAGATCATTTATATGAGACCCTCCAAATTAAAATACATAAATAATTGACCGAGATAATTAAAAAAGTTGAATCTATCAATTAAAAATATGCAATCTATAAGTTGGATCATAAAATTTAGGTTGTCTTTTACAATCTGTTCAAGTTCCAGCTCTGAATGTTAATAAACAATGAAAACATGGTTTTAAGGAAAAAAATGCTATCTTGCTTCCTATTAGTCATAGAAGGTTCTGTTCTTTTTGAAGTGTTTTTTCGCCACCTTTTCATTCAGCCTACTTACAAGTGTGTGGCATAAAAAATGTCCAAAGTTATTTTAAATGCTAATAAGCTAAATAGCCAGCCCTTTTTCAAACTGTTTCTTAATAACAAATTTAATAAAATGTTGCAGCTCATTTAATATACCCTTAAAATGAACCCTTATAAAATCAATTTCGATTTACAAACTACCTCTAGGAAGACTGTCTGTCTCCAACATAAACAAATTGAATAACCTATAAACTATTTGATAGATCTATTTGAAATTTAACACACTTTAATAACTCATTAACTTCAACAATTTTAGGAAGTTACATTAAATATCATTATGCAAAAAGAAAGTTACATTTACAAATTACCACAAAATTAAGGGTTTTTTGCAACTATCTTGGTGAATTGAATATGTATTTTAATTTAGAAACCCACAAATTGAAAAACTTTTTAAGATCTACCATTTTTATTTGAACCATGTTTCTCTAAGTCGCATAATAGATGTTTTATAGGCAAAAAAGATTTTTTCACTTTTTAAGATTGTTTAAAACAAAAACAAAGCAAAATCATATACCTTTTAAAACCGTCAAATAATCTGTATTAGATTTTTATGTGAAATCAATGATTTTTCCTAAATAGACTGGTGTAGATACACTAACGAAAACATTGACAATGCAATATCCAGTAAAAATTATTTTAAAACAGATTACCTGAATGTTTTTCCGCTCTTATCTGAATTTTTATCATTATCTGTTGTTTTCATTTTTTTGTCTGTAGTATCTTTAATATCTTTTAATTTTTTAGTACTTTTAATATCTGTAGACTCGGTAGAACCCATTTTAGTAATATTAAAATTATTTAAAATTGTTTAAATAGCTGTGAATTCATTTTTAAAAGAAACAAGCAACTATTATTGTTTTAAGATTGTTTTTGTTTGCTTTTTTTTAATAACTGGTTTACTAAATGGTCTAAATAATATAAAGAGAAGAATTTAGGCCAGGAACTTAACATTATAGTTCATTATTGATTAGTAAAAAATCATACAACTGGGATGATCTACACAGAAACAGTTTTTTAGTAGCAAATATACAATATGCATAAAATTATTTAGTTTTTACAGATAATGCAGTATTATTAACTATTTTTATTGTGAATGTCAGTTTGAAATATCTTTAATTTGACATTTGAATTTCCACTTCAGATATTTTTCTCAAAACGTAGGTTTCTGAGATGGAAATCATAAAATCAAAACAATGTACCTATTTTAAAATTAAATTTTAGTAATTAAGAATAAAAATAGTAAATAATATTAAAATGCCACAAAAAATAGCTTCAGAACAATATTATGATAATACAGTAGGACCTACTGTATTATCATAATATCAAATGAACTAAACAACAAAAATTTTCAAGAATTTTTGAAAGAACTTATGTCGCAATATGGAACATTCTTTACCACACAGAAGTGAGATGGCTTAGTAAGGGTAAAGTTTTGAAACAATTTCTTCAGTTTTTGACATGAGATTACTCTGTTTTTGGCTACAAAGAATAAAGAGTTTCTTGATATTCATAATTTTAGTTGATGGCTTTTTCTCACTGATACAATGAGCATTATGAATGAAACATTGACCAAATTGCAAGGAGACTACAATAACATTGTAACGAAAATGATGAGTATTGTGTTTTCACTGGAGCAGAAGCAGAATATGTATATTGAAGAATTGTCAAATGAAGATTATTCCAGCTTTCTTTCCGTTAAAACACTGTTTGATGAAAATCCAAATGAAAGTAAAGAGATTTCTGACCTACTGAAGCTGTTAACAGACCTACCTAAAGGATGAAATGTCTGTGAGGTTTAGTGACTTCAGGAGGTTCCAAGAACCATTTCGCTTGGTGGAGAATCGATGGGCAATAACAACAGCAAATGTAGCTCATCTTTTTATTTTTGGATAAGAAGCGAGGGATTTGATAAATGAGTTAATTTATCTTCAGAATGACACAGAGCTCAAAAGTATTTCTGAAGAAAAAAAGAAGGAAAAAGCTCACTATAAGTTTTGGAAGGAGTTGAAAATGACAAATTTCCTAATTTAATTGACTGTGAATCTACATTCAGTAAGCTGAAGTTCATAAAAAACAAGTACAGATCTAGGCTAACTAGTGAGAATAATGAAAACATTTTGAGAATTTCAGTTTCTTCCCAACTTGCTAACATAGATGCCATTCTAGAGAGCTGTGAAAGATTTCGCCTGTGAACTTCAAAGAATTAATGAATTTGTTAATTTGGACTTACATTCCTGGAGTCAAGTAAAAGACATTTTCCTACTTTTTACATGCAAAACAGTCCATATTATTTATAATTATATTGATTTTTACGTAATTTGTAATAAACTTATGTTATACTCATATAGTTTTAAAGTTATTTCATACCACCACTTGTACTTGCAGTCCTGAAGAAAATTTCATTCAAGCTTTTAGGCTCTCAAAGAAATCATAGTGAGGATCCCTGCAGTAGTCATTGATAACTGATAAAATAAAGAAAATGCAAATAATCTTTTATGACACCACCAAAAGCAAAACATTGGCTATAGAAGAAAAATATGGAAACTACATGATAAAAATGTCTTGAAAGGAAAGGGTACTGTTTACAATAAGTCAGCCTAATTATAAGAGTTTTAAAACTAAATTCAGTATATTAAGAGTCAAATATTGTAATATTTTCATTTTTTCTTACCCATGGGTCTTGACTGCATAGGTATTTGTGTGGGGGTTGATGAGGCCCCATTTGCGCCCCATTCATTGGACTGCTCATATTGTAGTGCTGGTTCATCTGACTTAACATTGGCGAGCCTCCATTCATACTGGGATTCATTGGCGTCAGGTCCCATTCATTGGATTGCTCATTTGTGATACCATAGGACTACCCATTGGATTTGACAGTTGAACTGGCATCTGCGTTGGCATAGCATTCTGCATACCCCCTGGAGCCATCTGGGTTTGCATTGGTGATGGTCCAAATGAACTACGCATTGCTACAAGAAAAGAATATATTCTTTGATTAGAACATATATTTTATATTTTTTGAATGTATGACATTTATCCGCATATGACGCTCCATGATACAAAAGATAATAAAATATTGGAACACAAGTGTATGAGAAGAATATCATGTTTGTGTTCCAAGCCAGGGAAACAAAATATTTATAACGCAGATTATTAACATATATTGTAATATTTGTATTACAAAAGAACGTACCAGCAGGCTGAGGATTATTCAAATTTTGCATAAAATGATGTGGAGGAGCTGCCATTATTAGATTCAGAAGAAATAATTGTTATTAATAGTTCTCACAATTTCTGGCTTCACATCTAAATATCTAGAAACTCCATAAAATAGTACTACTCCAACGCAACCATATATAATAAATAATTCTATAGTTTCCTTTTCACTATTAATAGTATTTATTTCTGTGGCTAGGGTTTCAGCCAAAACAATTACTGAATTAAGATCTATCATTTAGAATGATTTTTTTATTCCAAACTGGGATTTAAAAATTGTCTAAACGTCGGAGTTTGAACTGTTTGAATTTAAAATGGTTATAATTTGACAATATCAATAATTTTTAGTAAATATCTCCACAAAACAACTATTTGCCTACACTTGCTATTAATATTATTTTGACTCTTTTGACTTGTGACAAGTGACAAATAACAAATAGGTTTCCGTAGTCCAGGGATCTGTCAAAGATATGCTCCTGCGCACCATAACCTTCCGAACTATAAAACTCTTGAAAAAAAAAATGCCATGTTGTCACTTTTACCATTTTCTTTATTAATTACTGATAGAGATTCTGAAACTGTTTTCAGTAGTATGTTTATCTAAGCCACAATTGATTGTAATTTTTTTTATTAACTTCTAAGATGTTTTACAATTTGATTCACGATAAAAACAATAAGTAAAATTGTTTGTCTTTACAATGTCAAAGAGATGTAAGGTCCAGTGTCCAAAGTGAAATATTAAAAATGCTGAATGATGAAAATATAGAATGTCTAAAAATACTACTCTGGAGCAGGCGCTGGTGATGACAGCATGCGGGACGTCGGTAGCAGGGTGTTGAGGAGGCGGGCCCCTGTCATACAATCAGCTACAGCCCAACAACAGCAAGAACAACCACAAGCTAGTCAAACAACAAAAGCTCCACTCGCTGAAGGTGCTGCGCTGGAACATTCGCCGGCGCTTACCCAAGCGGGACGACCGAGGCAGTGCATGAAATGGACTGCGTCCATAAATGAAAATATTTTGCGCTTCTATTACCAGGTAACAAACCTCGGTCAAGAAACGATCGGGTATCGACAAAATTTCTATGTTGAATTTTGCAAAGAGTACCCAGAAATTCAAGTAACTGAACAACGAGTTGCAATACAGGGTAATTATAAGAAACAATCTTATCCCAGAGGCTAGATGCAATATCATTAGAAGCGAAGTCAAACGGGAGATTAATCACCAAGAGGAAAATATGGGTCAAGTCACTAGTGACATACATGAGCAGATTCCTGAGCTTACGATACAAGAAACTCAACCTGATAATACACTACAGGATAACAACGAATTACGGAATACTCTGGTAAGCGAAATGGCACGGGGCTGTACAAGAGTTTATTGGAACAAATCCACTTAGCAGACCACTGCTACCGAAAATAAACTCTTCTAAACAAAATTGGTGCTCTGTTACAAATTCTAAATACTGAAGTCCTACCCAATTACGTCGTAGAAGCCCATACACTGGAATATTTGCACATGCTTATTTACTGTGCAGCAACAGCAACAGCTAATGTAATGGGAATTAGGATCAGAACACGATGGGGTACCAATGCCGGAAGGACAGATAACAGAGTTGCACCCTGGGAGAAACGGCTTCTAAACAAGATTGAAATATTGCGTAGGGCTATTGGTCAACTGACAGAATATATACGAGGAACAACAAGTAGAAAAGTCATTAAAAGAACTGATCAAATAATGCTAAGCACTGCAAGACACTTGCAATATGATCCAGAAAACATCACAGCCCAACAGTGCCTGGATACATTAAAACAAAAACTCTCCGTTTATTCAGGACGACTAAGGAGGTACAAGGTTAGCAACAGCCGGAAATGTGACAATGCGCTTTTTGAGCATGTCGAGAAGGCGTTCTATCAGAAACTTAACTCCACTGTCGAAAGTGCCCATAAATCATACCCAAACCACGAAGAAATTCAGGAGTTTTGGGGATATCAACTTTCCACACCAGCTGCTCTTAACACCAATGCTGGAATCCATAGAAGATACGACGCAAAGCTGTCAACACTACCGCACAACTGTCTATGAACCCTTTACCACAGAAGAACTCTCTAATATCATCAAAGAGCTTCATAATTGGAAATCTCCTGGACCAGACGGAGTTCAAAACTTCTGACTTAAAATGTTCTGGAGTGCTCATAAGTGCTTGTCAACACTAATTTATTTTATTTATTTATTCATTCCAACGGTAGAACTATTTACAATAAAATGCAAAAAAATAGTAAAAAGTAAAGATCATGTACAATAAACATCAAAACAATAACAAAGAAACAAGTAAACAGTTAAAATTTGTACATTAAAACAATATATCATATCACAAAAATTTTAAAAAAGTATCAGTATCACATAGTAAGTATCACATATCTAGATTAATAGTCAGATTCTTAAGTTGCCTTTTAAAAGCATTAATGTTTATGCAGAAAGGATCCAATAGGAGGTCATTGCAAGAGCTGACCATTCTTGACAGGGGAAAATGACGAGCATAATCAGTCCTATGAAAAGGAATATGAAAGAGTGCAGTGTATCGAGTTCTATGCATTGTGTTTAAGTGTACATTGGCCAATAAAGAGGGACAATTAATAACATTGTTCAGAATTTTAAACAAAAATAACATATCAGCTCTCAACCTGCGGTTCTTCAATGTATCAATTTTAAAATGAGACATTATTAAAGAATAATCTATGAAATAATTTTCAGTATTTTTTATATTAATATGGGCTTTAAAAGCTAAAGATCTTAGAAACTTCCTCTGAACGCTCTCCAATCCATCAATGTATACTTGATGAAACGGGGACCAGACAACAGAGCAGTATTCAAGACCTGAGCGTACCAGAGAGCAATACAATAATTTAAATACAATAGGTGAGAGATCATGACTGTTGCGATAAATAAAACCAAGATTACGAAATCCTGTTTCCTTAATTTTAAGAAAATGGCTTCTAAATACCAATGCACAATCCAATAATACACCCAAATCTCTAATCTCAGTAACTGAATCCAAGAGTACATCATTAAGAATATATCTATTAGCCATTAGATTATTTATATGACCAAATGAAATACAAGAACATTTAGTTGGATTTAAGCTTAAACCATTTTGTTTTGACCATAAACATATGTTGTTTACATCATCTTGCAGAAGATCTCTATCTGATTTATTATGTATACAACGAAATATCTTAAGATCATCAGCAAATAGCAGGAAGTGTGAGTTTTTGATAGCCTTACCAATATCGTTAATGAACAAGTTAAAAAACAAGGGACCACAATGAGACCCTTGTGGTACACCAGAATAACAATGAAATTCTTTTGAAATATAATTGTTAATACGAACTTGCTGTGTACGTCCCATCAGAAAACTTTTAATCCAATTGACAATGGGGTCACCAAAGCCAGATGCATGAAGTTTGTGGACCAAAAGATTATGATTTACCTGGTCAAAGGCCTTTGAGAAATCAGTGTAAACGCTGTCAACCTGAATTTTATTCTCAAATGCACCCAAGTATTGTTGGTAATTGAGAAGGTTTGTTACAGTTGATTTCCCATTAGAAAAACCATGTTGTTCATCAATAATTATGTTTCTGCAAGCCCAGGTGAGATTTAATTAATCGTGTTATTTCTAAACCGCAGGAAATACCATCATTTCTAACTCAGGGAACAACTTATTTAACTTGATTTAGCTATTCAAAAAATTAACTCTATTTTAAATATAGGAAAAGAGCAACAATACCTACCAACTATAGGTAAGCACAGCCTTCATGAGGTATCCAATGACAATGGCATCAGACTAATAAATTAGCAACTTCCCTTAACATGGTCATTACCAGAAGATGCTTCCAGCGAAAAAATATTCATAAGATAACATGGAGATCTCTAGATGGGGTTACAGTAAACTTGATCGATCATGTTATTATTGACTCTAGACATCACTCAGATGTAATAAACGTATGCAGCAGAAGAGATCCAAAGAGATCCTGGGTCTACAAAAAAGCTCAAATCAATTGAAGGACAGTGGTTCGATGAAGAGTATCGTAACATAACAGAGAGAAAAAATAATGCATATCAACGACTACAACAACGACATAGAACACGAAAGGCAGGGGAGGAATATAGAATGCTAAGGAGGAAAGAGAAGAAAATACATCGCAGAAAGAGAAGAAAACACATAAAAAAGCACTCCAAGAAATGGAAGAACTAAATAAACTATCAGAAACCAGAAAATTCTACCAAAAACTTAACAAAAGCAGAAAATAATTTATACCAAGAACAATGATGTATAGATACAAAGAAGGATATATAGTAACTCAACAGAGTGAAATACTACAAAAATGGACAGAATTCTTCAAAAAGTTTAAAAAAAAAAGAAGATCCACTATATGATGGAATTATACTAGATCAAACGGATACCAGAGAAACAACTCCCCTTCAGTAGCTGAAATGCTAGAAGCAGTTACCAGACTGAAAAACAACAAGTCACCTGGATTAGACAACATTAGCGCAGAATTAATAAAGGAAGGTGGAGACTCCCTATTGAATGCGATGCATGAACTAATAGTGAACATATGGAATAATAAACAACTGCCACAAGACTGAAATACCGGAGTAATTATCCCACTACATAATAAGGGAGATCAGCTTCAATGTAAAAGCAACCGGGCAATAACGCTACTGAGTGTGACATATAAAATACTGTCAAATATTGTGTATGACCGATTGAACCATGATGACCTACTCCGCCGTTGTCTGGTTCCAAGTCCAGGATGAGAAAGGAGGAGGGTTAAGCAAGGGACTAACTATTCCTTCTTGTAAAAAAACATAGTTATGAAAACGAAGCACATGCCTCGGATAAGAACGGATCTTCTAAGACGACAAAAGCGATGACAAAGGACAATAAATATAGGAACCTGGAACGTACTAGGCCTATATCGGCCTGGAGCCTTAACTCAGGTGGTCAAAGAACTTGAATCCAGAAACATGGATATAACTGCTTTACAAGAGATTAGACGGGCTGGAGAAGGTACACTAAAAACTAATAAATCAGTAGTATTTTTCAGAAAAAGCGAACGGGAACATCAATTCGGCACTGGTTTTATAGTCAGGGAAAGTCTTGTGGGTCAGTTTTAACTTTCAAACCCGTTAATGAAAGACTGTTATATCAGACTCAAAGAACAACTGCATAACTATTCCCTAGCTGCTGCCCATGCACCTACAGAGGAAAAGGAAGGGCATGTAAAACATAACTTCTACGAGAAACTAGAGGAACTGATAAATATTCTACCCAAACAGGACATGCATATTATCTTAGGAGATTTCAATGCAAAGATTGAGAAGGAAGCAGCGTACAAACCAACAA